CCTTTAGTGCTACAGTATTTCACTGTTTTGGTACATACTAAAACAACTATTCTCCTCAGTATGGGTGGTATGAGGTGGATATTTGCCGAGCCGTATATCCACCACTAGGCACCTCCCCTTCGGTGAATAGTTGTTAATGGCTGTTATTACAGTTCTAGACGTCATTCTTATGGTATAGCGGTATCTGCGTGAAAATGCACGGAAACGAGGCTATCGGGCGAGAGAACATAAATACTGCATAAGAAATTTTTGAGTGTTCAGGACCCACTCCAATTAGGTTTGGTGAAAAGATGTCTCCGTTCAAATTTAAGCAAGTTCTTTTACTCTAACTTAATCAGGATTCGAATCTCTGACGTTGCTTAAAAGGTTCACGCTTTGCTCTCCCAAACGAAACAGTTGAGGAAAATTACACGAATTAAATCTGGTTTCAAGCTCGCTTGGAGTTTCTAAACTCTTATTAGACAAGTAGACAGAGGTTTGGTGAACAGGAATAAGCGAAATAAGCGCGTAAGTTTGATTAAGCGTTTAAGATTTACAGGGACTGACATATCCTTTTTTTTGTTTTCTTTGAATCTGTAGAGCGAGCCCGGAAAATTTGGGAACAGACCGATAAGTCAGGTATCCTTACTGTCTGCTATATAATTCTTGTGGTGTTCGTTCAGAGAATTTTTCATAAGATCAACTTATATTCCCCTGCCTGTCACTTTTTTGATTTGAATTTAAGATAAGGCATGCTTCTCTCGTATGCGAAGATTTTTTCCTTCATCGTAAACAATTAACTTTTATATTTTAATTATAGTTGAATTCGTTCATTACATTATCTGTGTTACAAATGGCACATACCTCCTTGTTTCTGTCTATATTGAACGATATTTTTTGCGGGAGAAGAAGAAAATTGGATGAAGCAGGTTACTTCCCCGTCCGTCCGCCATATTTACTTAAGTATGTATTAGCACTGATCGCTTTTTTTATTTTTTTTTTTCCCAGAGGTGAGCACCACCCAACCAGAATCATCTTCCGAAGAGGAAGACGAGCGGCCCTCCTCGCCTGGTCTTCCATCTGATTCTTCCGACTCTGAAGATGATCAAGGTACAAATTGTATGGTTCTGTAGTGATATTATTTTGACCTCTCGTAAATTTTTTTGTCACTTTATTTGGCTCAGTCAGAGTTAGTATGTTCACGTATAGAACAGGTCAGAGTAATTTCCAATTGATTGTCGAAAGTAATCTGGATTTGTTTTGGTTTCGCTTTGCTTCGGTCTGTGATTGGTGTAAAAACTGGCGCCATGCTCTGAACCAATCAGACGCCAAACGAAAACTAATCAGGACTTGGTCTCCCGCGCTTTCCCGCGTTTTCCCGCGCATTCGGTAGTTTGCCTGTTGTGAATTCTCGTAGGCTAATGACGATATAAATCTTCGTTTTGATTAGCCTTTGTGATTACTTTGGTGATGGATTTTTACAGTCAATTAAAGACTCTACTTTTCTACGGTCAATTAAAGACTCTAAAACCCACTTGAAATAAAATTTCCCCTCAGCAATCTGCCGCAATTGGGCAAGTGACAAAGAGTGAGTGACAAAGCATTTGAAGAAGCCAATGATTTGTATTAACACTGTTACAGAACAAAATCTATGTTTTCCAAATTACGTTACTTTCTTACTTGTATATTTACCTCGGCAAATCACAGCAACCTTTTTTGCGAGTTTCCAACTTTTTGCTTTCTTTCTTAGTTCCGAGTGAAAATGGATGGCCAAAAGATAAAACTCCAAGGAAGAAACGTCGAAAAGGTTAGAGTAAAATAATTTTTTAAAATACAGTCAGCCCTGGTTAGCCTTAGCGTCGGCAACTCGACCCAAGGATCTGTATTTTGATGAAAAGTTTTTGCTGGTTTTTTGTTTTTCCTCCAGCTCCTTTCTACGCTTCAGACGGACCTATGCATAGCACACCAATGGGTAAGGATGTTAAGGATTTTGCACGCAAAAAAGCATGTATCTTACAGAACTAATTGCGAATTGAGGGATGTTTTTCAATTCTTTTGAATTAATGGCAGGGAAGAAGGGAGAAAGACAATTAGACTGACAGATAAACTGACAGACAGACAATTAGACTGACAAACTGACTGTCAGCCAGGCAAACAGAATGACAGACAGACAAATAGACTGAGAAATTGACTGACAGACCGACAGACCGAGAAATTGACTGACAAAGAGACAGACAGACGGACAGACTGACAGATAGGCAGATAGACTGAGAAATTGACTCACAAAGAGACAGACAGACAGACAGACAGAGAGATAGAAAGGGAAACTGAAAGAGAGACTGAAAAAGTGACTGACAGACAGACAGACAGACAGACGGACAGAAAGGCAGACATGAAGATAGACAGACAATGGTCTGGTAAAAATGTGATTTATCAAAATAGACTCTATTTATTTTATTTGTATCCGGACTATAAAAATGGAAATTAATACTCAAGTATCAAAATTACCTCGCGCGGGGCTATGACTGAAATGTTTGACTTAATCCACGGCTAATCAGATCACGCGCATCTTTGTCATTTAATCACTAGGGCAATCATATTTAAACAAATTTATTTTTTTTTTCATGTTCTTCTCTTCCTTACTAACCTTGCCACAGAGACAACACCCGAGGAAGAACCGTTGAGAGAACCTGAGTCGGAATCTTCCGACACCGATGACGAAGAGTTACCAACGATCGATCGTAAAAAGGATCATCCTTCCTTCAAAGCCGTCCCCGAGATTATACAGGACAAAGGGGTGTCAGGTTCGGCTGCCACCTCTGATACGACTCCATCTGTGGACAGCAGCTTGAAAAAGAAGCCTCTGAAGTCAGCTCTCAAGAAACCGAAGAATCCTATTCCTATACCTGTCATGGAAGAGCTTAATGATGACGATGACGATGATAAATCACTCAGGTAAAGATTAAGGAACCCTTAAACTCCCAAATCCAAGCTTTAACCAGACAAGTTTTAGTATTCTCATTACCTTTTGGCTGGATAATGTATAGATATCACTTGGAGAATTTACATAATGATAACTTCTGATAGTCAGCGCGGTAACTTTTAAACAAGAGAACACGGTGGGAGAAAGAACTCAGTTCCTAACTTAAGTCTTAGAATACATTAATTTAACTAAGTGCATCTATAAACGTCAGTCTCTCGTACCGAAGTCAGCTTTTTGAAGGGTCCACGTGAAGGCCTAACTGATGTGTTTCTTGAGTGTTTTTAGCAATGTTGCGCATAAACTCGGCCACCTCTCTGCAACGGCCTCTTTTGCCTCCAAGGTGGCCTTTAAGTAGAGGCAGGGGTTTAGATTAAAGCCATCTACAGCCTCCATAAAACCTCTCATCGCTGTTTAGCCAGCGAGCATGCTCTTGTGTTTGGGTTTGACCTTACGGCACAGCCGCCTAGTAAACCATCGACAGCCGCTTACGGAAAAGTTATTGAGACCCTCTAGAAGGCTGACTGACACACCCTGATCGAACATTAACCGCTTATATTTATGTATTTTTCTGCCACAGCACTGATCGTCATCATCATCACCATCACCACAAAGACAAACATCGACACCGTCGAGACAGACCACGGTCCCGCGCGAGTTCCGTGTCTAGCGATCAGAAGGAGAAAAAACGCAGATTTAGGAAGAAAGGTTCCAAGAAGAAGGAAACGTTAGTACAAATTGGTGGAGAGGAATACAGAGTGCAGGCTGGGGACCAGTCTTTGTAAGTGTGTCTTTTGTTAACGTTCAATGAAAGTGGGAATGGTTTCTTAGTCCATGCTCGTGACAAGACGAAAGAACGTCTTTCGTCATTTCATCTCTGAGTTTCTCTTAACCTAGTGATCCCTAAGAGGACTGGCATCTAATTTGTACAAGAAAACGAGAAAGAAACAGGAAAGATTCACCATCTTTCTTATTTCATTAACTCACAGAAGGCTTTTGTCATCGCTTATCAAGCAGAGTGGCGGACGCGTGTCACATATGAACTAGTATTGGCCTGGCCATTATAGAGTCTCTGTGGCTCAGTGGTAGAGCATTGTAGCACGAAATCGGAAGGTCTGAGGTTCGATTCCTCGTGAAAACCTAGATCCTTTTCTTTATGCCACGCTCGAGACAAGACGAAACTCCCATCTTTCTTCAGGTGATCATGGTTATTGGCAATTTTATCTTCTATTCATGAAGCTGTTTCGGGCTCTTTTTGTCTTCTTCATTTTTCCGCGGCACGAGAGTTTTTTTTTTTTTAACAAAATTGAATCCTGGAGTGGAAAAAGGAGTGGTAAATAATTGTTTGATTGAGTGATTTTATCACTTTAAGTTTTAAGAAAAGAAAGGGAAGGATTAAATAGAGTTCGCCAATTCGTAAGGCTTCCTTCCTGAGATCAGACAACTGTGATCATATAAATTAAATTTGAGAAAGATGTTTTTTCGTCTTGCCACGAGCGTGGGACATAGCAAAAAATTCTTAGTCCCCAGACCTTCGGAGTCTGCGCTCTGATGCTCTACCACTGAGCCACAGAGACTCTATGGTGAGCAAGGCTCATTACCAAGTTCATATATGACACGCATTCTTGCATACTGCTAGGATCAGCCATGTTGATGATGTCATGTTTTTTTATAGAATAAGAAAGATGGCAAGTTTTTGAGCTCGGTAAACAAATGGAAAAAGATGTTTTTCGTCTTGTCACGAGCGTGGACGAAGACAAAATTTTTGCGTCCCCATGAGGAGTAAATAAAAGTTGTGTAACAATCTTTCAGTTGTACAGCTTGTAATGCTGCCCACTGTGGTGGTTGGAAGCGTTCTGATCGTGTGACAAACTGTGCAGTGTTGTTTTTGGTGATACAACTTGAGTGTTTAACCATTCAACGGAAATCTTGCTAGCAGCGCTTTTATGTTGGTTTACTGCATGGGGCACTTTTGGCTTTCAGGTTGTTATATAGTTCTAAGTCTGTTGATGAAATCCTAATATGCAAGTTTTCAATTGAAAGCTGCTGAACAGCACTTTCATAAGTTTCCTTTCTTTCAACTGTGCAAGGTGGTGTTGACCTTTAAGTTTGTTGATTAACTTGATAACCGTCAGATGAAAGCTTCTAAGCAGTTCTTTCATGTACAGTGTTCGACCTGCTAGGAAAAGTGGTTTCACCTTTGCAGTGTACTGTTAAAAAAATTCAAGGAAACCTATTCTTAAGCGATTTCACAAGGTTCTGTTTATTTTACACTTTATGGTAGCTCTACCCTCTCAAGATCGTTTGTGAAACCTTGGTGCAGGAGTGTTTCAATGAAAGCTATTAAGCAGTGATCTCACGCGGTTTTGTTTGTTTCTCAGCGGTTTAAATTTTTTTCCTATTTTTTTTTTTGTTTTGTTTTGTTTTGTTTTTTTCTGGATCTTTATGAGAGGGACCAAAAATACTCGACGAGGAATAAATTGTTGGGGTTATAAAGAAGTAATTAAACTATCCAAAAAACAGAGATATATGATTGAGATAACCCACATTAACCAATTGTTGAGTGATTGTTGTTCAAGAGATCACTTGTGGAATTTTCTTTGTCAGCCATAACCTTGGGTGAGGGACTTTTTTGTTCGAGGAACGACAACACCTTTTGTTGTGCAAAGAAAGATGTTAAAAAATTTGTTACAAGAATGGGAAAAAGGAAAAATCTGTGTATCCTGTGAAGATTGCATCCCAGGTAGTCCTGTTTTGCTTGTGGGATGCACTCTAGCTTGTGTGAGAGGACTCATCAATTGAAGTACAAGGTTATGTACTAATTTGTTTATGACACGATTTCTGCATACCAGTCGAATCAGAAATGTAGAAAAACGTAGAAAACGTGTTGTGCTTCCTAAGAACGGGAAAGATGATAAATTCTAGCTCTGTTGTCGATGTGGAAGAAAGATATTGTACGTTTTTCATAGAAATTTGTTGTGATTTTGAGTTGCCTATTGTTCAATGTTCGTGATGGGAACAAAACACGAACTTCTGGCAGACGGAACCTCCTGCAGGTTAAAAAAATAACTTGTACGTGCTTATTTTTCTTTAAGCAGCTGTTGGCGTTAATCTCTCACGTCACGTTTTTCAAAACTTATCGAATTTCTCACAGAGAGCATATCCGGGCTTTTCTATTCTCTATCAGTTATATTCCACCGGAAGACACGCGTTTTTTTCAGGCAGACCATCATTCTCTCTAAATCTATGACAACCGATCTGAGCTGATCAGTCGTGTCTCATTGTTTCTTACGCTACACAATGTGGTTGCTTTTCTTCCCACTTTTTGCGGAGAAAAACTGGATTGCAGCAAACTAAATAGAACAACATGTCGATTTGGTGTAGTTGTATCATGTATTAGGTGTTCTTTTCTGTGAATACAACCCAAGTTTCAGACAGCGTTTTAAGCTAATGACCTGCACTCCCGTATGTTATTATTTGTTAACTGAACATGATGGTTGTAACATTTAAACCTCAGGCTAAAAGCCTGGTCTATGAACATTGCAATGAAAGTTTCGGAGCTGCGCTTTAATTTGCCTTTATCCATTGTTCTGTGGAAGGTTGTGGTAGCTGTAAGATTAAAGATGATAAACCGGTATGTCAAAGCGGGTGAAAAATACTCACTTAGCGGTTATGGTTTATTGTACTGACAAGATCCGAGCACTTGGCATTCAAATTTTTTTTTTATATTTTTTTAAAGTTTCCCTCTTTTTGGGAAATGAACTTGAATTAATTTCGTGGTCAGCGTTATTTTCTTTATTATGGTACTTTTCTGTGTTTGTTTATATCTCATTTATGCAAATTACCTCAAGCTGTAGTTTTTCTCTCTCTCATAACTTGAGCTTTGCGCACAGTTATCTTTTAAGAAGACGAATTTAATGAGTTATGTGATTTTGGAGCAAGAATATGGCTGTGGGAACCTTTGAGTTGTATTAACTCCTCTTGACGATTTTTAAGTGCATGTGAAAGACAGTTTGTTTAGACGAGCCATTTTTCCGGGGGCTTCTTTAGCTGTTGCAATGCTGTGATTTTATGAACCTCGCTGGGGTCTTGCTTCGTAGGGGTCCATATCAAAGAACGTTTGAAGCACCCTGTTGCGTTATTGTTTTTTTGTACAATATGTAATTACATTTACTAGTGTTGTACATCCAAATCTCGCCAGAAGGTTGAAAATAAAAAGTACCGCTTAATTAACCCAAATTACCTCATATGTTTTTTGATAACGACCAACGTTGACAAGACAAAAGAAGTGTTTGCTTTCCTGCGGTTAAGGTATCCTGTGGCGGCCTACTGCACAGATTAGGTCTTTGATTTTTTTGTTCAAGGTCTTGGTAAGAGAGCTGTACGCGCTTCTTTCCTGCTGCGAAACCCAAAGGTTTTTTCCTTCTTTACGTCTAAGAATGGTTGAACAATACGGATCACAGCGGATGCCAAATGATAAACAAGAATTTGTTTTAATGTTCTCACTAATGAGTCTAATAGATTTATTTCACCTTCCCTTCCTATCACAGCTTGTTTTCTAGTCGTTAAGTTTAATAAATTGCCCTAGGAATAGTTCTCTGTTGGCATTTTAGTGGCAAAATCTGGGTTTCTACTCGTAAACGGTGCATTAGTCTCAAACAGTGCATAGTTTTGCCTCACTGGGAATTTGATTACAAACCTTGTAGTCTCTAGATTCTTCTGTTGAATTTGTAAACTTGTACGTTGTGTTCCCACAGTGTCTAATTAAATAGTCGACAAAAACCTATTGTGTACCTTGTTAAGCATAAAACTATTATTGACTAAAGGCCGCTTGCCAGCTTAGTCGGTTTCCATTGTTCCGTCACTTTGCGTGTTCTACAACAACTGGATTAAACGACTTCTCTTTATATTCTCGGCAGGTTTCAAGATTCTCAAGTCTAAGCAAGTTTCTGGGTGCGTATTTTCCTATTCTTATAAATTAGTGGCTAGTTGTTTTCGTGCTATTTGAGGTCTTTCTGCATCGTTGAGTAGCGGTGGGATTGAAAATGAGAGCTTACAAGATAATGGCTGATAAAAGGCAAACTGTTACGGGTCAGTGGACTTTCAGGGGGGTTGGATGATCAACTATGCGTGGCAAACCGTAGACGAAATCACGAACTCACGCTTGACTGAGCAAAACGTCTTTCTTTTTCGCTAGTCCAGTCCAAGGCTATGGTTTAAAGCTCCTACAACCGTTTTGCGTTGACCAAAAAACTGACTTCACTGGTTCGTCCTTAATTCTTGGTTCAAGTTTTTTTTTAAATGTTTTTGTTTTGATTTTTAATTTTTCGGAAAACTTTTGTTACGTTTCGTTTGTACAGTTCAAGTAGGAAGATATGAAACAGTGTGAAAACAGAGGAAATTATTAATTGATCGGGAAATTTCAAAACGAAGCCAATATTTAACCAACCACTGCTAGAGAGACCACAGCCACACCAAGGTGATCTCCATTCCATTTTTCTCCTCTCTTCACTCCTCTGATAAAAAGTACTAACCCCACCCCTCTCCCCATCACCGCCTTGAATTACCAGTTGGTTTTCTCCCTCCCTTTTCCGAAAAAAGAGAAAAAGATAAAACGAAAATTCAAGGTTTACTGATTGAAATAGTTTCATTTCTTCACCCACGTCAAGAAGAGGTTCTAAATAGTTAACTAACTATGTTGTTAAATTTGAAAATATGGTGGAACAAAACGAGCGCCCTTACTATTTCTTCTCTTGACTGTCTGTTTCTTTCTGATGAAAAATGTACTGACCCAGAATTGTTTTCTTTGATGCATTATTTCCAATAGTAAGGCGCAACACTTATGTTTGCGCATTACATCAGTTTCAAGCGAAGTACAACCTCCTTATCCCTCCCCCGCTAAACTGTTTTATTCTCCTTTTTTTCAACTTTCCCGTAAATTCAAGAACAGAAAGTTTTAACATGCCCTAGTGCCACTTTTCTTAAGACTTCCTTTTTATTTTCTAAACCTAAAGTAAAGTTCTAGGGCTGTCCTATTGTATTACAGTTTAATCTTTTATGTTAGGATTCACCTTCCAACTTCCTTTGGTAGAAAGTACCTGAACTTGAAAAATACCCCAAAACGTGGGGTATTGTTTTGTGAAAAGGTTATCTTAGCTCAGTCAGATCTTCCTTAAATATTAATATTTCCTTCTTTATTCTTTCTTCTAATTTTTTTACCAATTTATACGTGTTGTGACATGAATGTACGTGAGTAAGGCTGTTTTGAATGGCGAATTAGCTGATATAAGCCAGAGCTTTGCAAATACGCACAAAGCTAATATTTCCTTTCTCAAAATCCCTTCCACTATTGTCCTTCATCTCGTGTCGTGAGCACGATGATTTGTTTTCAGTTTATACTGATACATTTATTTTCAGTTCCTTTTTAAAATTCCCTTTCGTTCTCATCCCTTTTCTCATGTTTTGATGCAAGTAATCATTCGTGAATCGATAGTTATATTTCCCGCTAGCAATTTTGATCAGTTCGTACGTATTGTGATGTAAATCTACTTGAGTAATGATTGCTTTGATACCCAATAAACAAATACTGACGAGAGCGTAGCAAAAACGTGCAAAATTGATATTTACTCGTCAAAAATCTCTTGCACGTGCGTTTTATATCTCGTGTCTCGAGCGTGCTGTTTCGTGTACAAATTTAGACTTACTAGTTTTAAGAATTTTCTAGATATTAAGCCGGCTTCCTCCATGAAATTCCCTTCTGCTTTTTTTCACTTTGTGCCAGGTTTTCTATTTCTTTTTGTTTGTCTTACGCGAATTTATGATACTTCTCGTACGTATAAATCTTTCCAATACCTTGTAATCTTCTTAGCTTGCAGCTCTATGTCAGCTTTGTTAACATGTGCATGTTTGCCATGGCTCCATTCGGACCTTGCTTTTTGTCGTTAATCAAAATTGAAGGATAACTTGGTCGTTTGTGATATTGTTCGTCTGTGCGTTTATTGAAACCTTCCATTAAGACAAGTGCTTATTTATTTAAAACAAATTCCTCTATGGCGGTATTTTAGTGTAGTTTGCAATTCTTAAATTCCAAAGCTATTCAAATTGTTCATGTCACGGTAATAGATTGTCATTTACAAAGGAACATGTCGGTCTTGCACGAGTAACCAGACATAAATTTTCAAATTCGCTCTTGACCAACCCATTAAAGATATTTCCCGGTGATTTCATGCTATTTGAGCAAAATATTTAAGCAATTTGCCCCCCTCCACCCCTCATAAATTCGTATTGTTGTTGTGGTGGACTCAAACCTCCACGCATTGCCGTTCTCTTCACCTTCCAATGTTTTACTCCTGGGCCGTTCAGATTCTGGAAAACTAAAATTAGAAACTACTTAGATTAGGGAAAGCGGCTTGCCGTATTTGCGGCTGAGAAGACGCTACCTTATTTTGTGTCAAAATAAACTGAAAATTGAATCCAGAGGAAAAAGCTTGAAGGGTACATTTTCAAATTTTATCAGCGCGAAAATTTTTAAGAATCGTTTCTCACCAAGTGTGAAACGCATCGTTTTCCACTCGACAATTTGTTAACCAATGACAAGAGATTGTATCAGAGTTTCACTATTATAAACAGTTTGAAAAGGAGGAAGCAAGTTCTGTAGTCTACGAGACAAATGCTCATGGTGAAGTTAGAAAACGTTCATACTGAACATCTTAGTAGAGTGCATGGAAACTTGAATCAAAAGTTTTATTTGGAGTAGTAAGTTTTTTTTTTCTGCTAAAGTTTTTTATTTCCTTTTAGTTCATCGTAACTGATATAAGTTTGAGCGATTTTTTAACGCGTCTTTTTCTTTATATCGTCCCAATTTAGAACCAGTCTTCATTGTAATATTTTGTTGTCTATTTTCTCAATTATAATTTATTCATTTATCTGTTCTTGCCTCTTTCTTACAGGGTTCGACAACTAGATATGAAAGACTACTAGCTTGTACTACTCTCCAATTCAACAAGCGTTTATTTAGCTAGAGTGATAAGCCTTTAGTTTTTTTTTAAGATATCAAAACTTACTTCGAAAATGGTTTTGTTTAATGGCCGTAAGTGTACATTTATTTCGTAATACAACACGGTTAACCGTGAGATTAAAAAAAATCCCACTTTTTTCCTTGAGAAGCAATTAATTTTGCTTGTCTTTCTTATAAGGTTTGTAAAACCTTTGATATTGTATAGATGCTCTAACGTATATTTAGTGCAGAATTCTCAGTCTTTTTTAAAATAAGTTTTAGAATTAGGTGTTTCTTATAAACCGCTAGTAAGCTTTTGAGATAAACGAGGAAAAATATTTTTATCGAATCTCGACATGATTGCAGTATTTTCTTACCGTGAAATTTTTAATGAGGTATCTTGAAGTTTCAAATTGCAAATGGAATATAATTTATTAGCTCTGTAGGAACAGTTATCTGCTTAAAAAGGCAAAAAAAATCGTATTTTAGCTTAGCTTTTGACAACGCATCGGCGAAAGTGGAAGAGAGTTCTTCCAAATAAACATTCTTAGTTTTTAATGTAAGCGTCTTGAGAGTGGCCAAAATTTACACGCCGACTGTAAATTTCTTAGCTTGTTTAGCTCATGATTTAGTGTTAACAATTTGAAATTGAACTTGCAGAGTGTAATGGAATCAAAACACTCAAGCATAGACAATGTCTAAGACTCCATTTGATCTTTTGCGAAGATGTCCGATGAGTTATTTATTTTACTTCCAGTGTGTTTGGTTTCAAAGCAATTTCTATAAAAAGAAATTACTTCTTATGTACATTTTTTGCTGATGGAACGTGTTAATAAAGTCTAAAAGGCACCTCGACTGTAGTCATTTGCCTCTTTCTGCATTTTGATATATATATATATATTTTTTTTCTTCATTATTTTACTTTTCGTTAATATTACTATCCTAAAGCAAGTACCGGCGAGCTTTAATTTAAAATTGGTAATTACACTGCAAGTGTTTGCCGAAATAATTAATTTTAATTTTACAGCGATCACTGTGTTGCATTTCAAACATCGCACTGCATTCGGCTACATCTAACATTTCAAAAAGGAAGAAAACAGTGAAATTTTAATTCCGAAAAAAAAAACATGTATCTTGTCGCTTTTGCGAAGAAAGCGCACGCTCTCCTGCGGAATAAAATCACTAAACGTCGAATTCTTTATCAAGCCGCCAACTGAATTTTTCAGTTTTGTTATTCCTGATGTATTGAAGCCTTTTGTTTTACATCAATGACCTCTAGGCGAGGTTGTTTACAATCTGTGAGGAGGTTAAAGGGTCTATTGCTCTCTACTTAGCCGTCCTTCACGATGAATAGTTTGTAACATACCTAATTATCACATCCCGCGGTTGGAGGTTAAAAGTTCCGTCATTCGAGCGAGCTCTGTGATTTTGAAAAAAGAAAAAAAGTTCGTGTTTTCTCGATTAATGAAACTGTCATCTCCTTTTGGTATGCTAATTTTTCCGTTTGCAAAGTGTTGCGGACTACGCCCACCGATTGTAGGTCTCAGTAAGCCAATTTCTTCATGCTCGCCGCAGTTTTCCCTAACAAGAGAAAACCGTGCTTGCGGTGCTCTTTCTAACCGGAGAAGTGTGAATTCGCAAATTTCCAAGTAAAGAAGCAATTAACACGGCGGGTTGATAGTAACTTGCATCTGCCCAGCTTCAAAGAAATAGGCAACAATGTTTCGCATCGGAAAGCTTTGCTCCGCTTTTTGGCGGCTTAATGTTATTTCGCGGCCGATGCCATTGTCAAAATGTCGGTTTGTTTACTCGTCATTTCCGTTCAATGAAAAAGAAGTGATTTTGATCTTAAGCAAATACTCTTTCGGCTCGCATCGCTCAACACGGTGCTAAACTAATCGTTTCTTCTGCTAATGTAAAAAATAAATTTCAGCTTTCCTGATCAAACATTTCATGCCAATTTGTATTTCTGTTTCATTACACAAGTTTTCTTCTGTTTTCAGCCATTAGCAATCAGGAAATTTGTCGGTCATGAGGACAGACTGATGGAGAGATAAGCTAATAAACTAATAAGCCCTCTGTTGTCTTTTCTCGGTGCCTGTGATCTTTCAAATGTCGTGTCTCAAAGACATCTGAGCTTAAAAGCCTTGTAAAATATTCATTTTCAACTCCGAGAATTCTCTCTCATTCAAAAGGCGAACGACCATAACTTGATAATATTCAAAACAACTGTCTCGGGCGTGGGTGGCATAAGGAAAAATAATGCTATTAGAAAACAGTGTTCTTTGAAATTATCCGGAAATGTGGTTGAATTTTATAATGGAAGACAGATTTTTGGATTTGAACCAATTTTAATTTTCAACCGCAAACGATCGATCGGTCAGAATGTTCTATCTTAATATTTCCCTTTCCCAGAGAATTGCTATAGCAACGAAGGCTCTTTGCAAGAGCGAAACGTTTTCGGTGATTACCTGTGGGCAAGTGAAATTGATAACTACTTACAAAGCCGCCTCTGTTTTAAATTCCGTTAACGGCAAACATAAATTTGTCTGTCTCTGCACAAAGACGTTTTTTGAACGTCTAGCCTCTTGCAGAGTCAAATTGGTGATAAGAAAGAAATAAGCGGCAGGTTTTGTCTTGAAACCTCACTAATTGCTCCCTGACAGTGGGGGGGTTTGGTGCTAGACTAGGAGAAAATCTGGTTTGGGGCGATTGAGCCGCAAATCTCGTTGTCATTAAATCGTTGTTTATTTCATGGCCTTAAAACTAAAGACACCATTTCTCCAAGAGAGAAAAATTGAGAAGAGAGCAAAACATTTAAACGAGGAAAGAATTAAGTCCTTGTTTAGATAGCGTCTTTGCCCAGGAGATCAGCACTGAACAAATCCGCCCTTTTCTCTGAAGATGACGAAAACAACTTCAGCAATTACTTTCTTATCAGAAGTCTGACTTTCCATCAGGCCTCCTACAGGGCGAAACTCTAATCCCATCGCGTGTTTTATTTCTCTCAAGTTTACAGGTTTAATATCTCTATTATGGTTTAAGAGTTTTCCTTTCGTCAAAATGCCTGCTTATTAGCTGAAGGTCAGGCCAAATGGTTTGGCTTTGAATCAAGAAGCTTACTTTCTTTGTATGCGTTGACGTATTGCATATTTTATTGGAGATAAGCATCACTCAGGGTGCAGGCTCGGACAGAATCAGTCCTTTACAAAACATGGGAAATTCCCGAGTTGAGAACGAAGAGTTGCTTAATTACACAGATGTGCAATTAGGCCATAGAAGACAGATTTGATGATTAGTTTGGAAAACAACAATTTCTTGCTATGATCTACACGACGTGATGCAATATCGCTCACAGTGACCACCATCAGAGAAATGGCCTGTTTTTGATCAGTTCGACATACTTCCTCAGCAATCGTTATTCTTACGGTAGTAAATCCAATTCAGTGCAAGTAAAACTTGCCCTCACGGTAACTGAAACCACACAATGTTTAGTATTTGGGTTTCATTTTAAAAGGACCTTTACCAAATTATAATCCGTCTTTGCTAAGGGGATTGATATTTGGGCTACAAAGCCTTTTATCGACTGCGAAACTTCATTTGAGAGACAATAGGTGCAAATCACGCCCTCAAATCAGAACTTCATCTCTGTCTCGAATAAACACATCGCGTGATTCGCAGTCAAACCGAGTTTGGTGAATGGAAACTTTCGTTGCAAACGCATGTCGCTTAAGAGAATTTTAACTCGCATTGATTCTGCATATTTTCCTGATATTTTTTTCTTTCTGGTGACTCCTATGAAAGGCTCTCTGAAAGTTTTTCGTGTTTCGTCGTTACAGTCTATTTGGACACTCAATGATCAGAGCACTTACAACAAACATATCCGAACAATCTATTCAATGAATTTTTTTCCTCTTAACTAAATAACTGCTTTCGCACCATTATTTCTTTTCTAGTGCTGTTATCTATACATGATAACCGACCTTCTGTGAAATGATTGCACGGAAGCCCCGCTTTTGATAATTTTGCAAGAAGATTTTGGCATTAACGCTAAGGCGTTTATACTTTCAAACGCTGTGATGCACGCTATTTTTGTGTGGTAATTGTCAAATTCGGGCGGAATCCACGCGATATAAACTAAGTCCATGCTCACAAGTCTGGACTCTTGTTTCCGGATTTCTTGCGTGATTCAAAATAAGCACCACTATTTTCAGTTGATCGTAAAATTATTCAAATCCATGGGATCAGAAAGGGCGAGCCAATGCTAGTATTTAAAGCAACTCTTTCTTACTGGCTAACCATCGCTAATTACAGCAGAGAGGAATAAATTTGCTTAGGGAAGGCGATACTAACTAACCATAAACATTTGTTTTACTCAGTTTTTTTTCTTTTTCAACAATCAAACATAATTGGCTTTTGGTTGATGTTTTTCTCCTCTACTGATGCTAGTCTCTGATAGATACAGTTGTTTTCATGTTTTTATTTAATGAAGGGCAATAAAAGTTGAGCTGTCGCGGTGTTTTAAGGTATTTTCCGCCTAGGCATAAATTATCGCCTTGTCGTTCAATACGGCACTTGTTTATTTACCGAACGAACCAATACTGTCTTGTGCCCGAAGCGAAAAAGCGCTTCCAATCTTTTCTCTTACTTAGAAGGTAATTGGTGCCATTGAATCGATGCGTTTGGACCAAACAAATGCCGAGATTAAGCGATCGTCCCCTTTTGAACGAGCGTAAAAGAAATCATTGTTCCTCTCTGAACATCAAACGAAATTGACGATGTGCCGCTTTTAAAATATCTCGGCACGAAAATAAATAGAAAGCGGTACATACGCGCTTAGCGAACGTGCACCGTAAGTGATTTTAAGCGCATCAGAAATGTTTAACAGAGAGCAGAGCCAGTATCGTTTCACAATCTCGCCTCAACACGTAGGAATCAGCTGCTTTCGGAAGAAAAAAACAACAATTGGTGCTCTGAAATGACTACTAAACGAGTTGAAAAGATTGGTAACTTGTCTAATTGTGTCGGCGAGTTCTTTATGAATCTAAACTAGTTGAAGAAGTGATTATTAAGCAGTATTAACCAAACACAAGGCAAATTAAGCTATTCAAAAATTTTTTACAATAAATAGGACTTTTGTCTCCCCAAATGCTGTTTTTCACTGCTCGTCTATTTTAATCGCATTTGCTTTTAATGTTCTGGTCTCTCTTTTGCGACTGTAAAAAGGAAAAAAACAGAGAAGGTCGTTGACTCGTTTCAATAAAATGTGCAAAGCGCGAATTTTCAAGCTTTTTATATGGTGTATGTACGTGATGGGTGAAGTTCAGCGGTTTACATCAATATTTACAATTTTCACTTTCACAAAGTTACAGTCGAGCTTCAAAGGAAACGGCGCGTGTGTTAATAAACTCTGAGACTAGTCAACGACAAACGCTACTTATTTTTTTCTGCGGAGTAGGAAATACCGTACCACTTCTTTGACCATAAATTGGCAGCGGGAGGAGAAATGAAGCTTTTGTATTGAAATCCCTCTCCGCATGAAGTTGACAAATTGTGATAACCTCCCTTAAGAAATTCGCTTCGAAATTTGTTTTGATTTCGGCGCAAGTTTGCAGGAAGTGAATTACCTGTATATTTCAAACCGCTCCGAGCAGTTGACAGCTACGATAAAAAAAAATCATATTCACACTCTAATCAGCATAACAATAGCTAACTGGTGTTTAAAGATTCAAAACTCTCTTGGGAACACGTGGAAATAATGAAAATAATTGCACGAATCTCTCTTTTGTGTAAGTGAAATCACAGATTTTTTCGGAATAACATATATCGATGTCCCAAAAATCGTTTTTTTCTTTCCCCGTGACTTCCGAATTCTCGTGATATGAAAATCTATGTTTTGATTTCGCGCCATACGCGGGAGAGCGGTGCCGTTCGCCCGAAAATAACATGAGCAATGACCCGTTACCCAATCAGCGCGCGCCTATCTATTTGACAGCCATTGTCATTGACGTGATCTGGTTTCTAGCCCCGCCTTTTTATTTTGTCGCAAAGTTCAAAAGAACGAAGCGTATCGTTTATCAAGCACTCTCTGTGATTCCCTCTATACTCGATGGGACTAGTATGGGGTTCGACGTGGATAGGTTTTTGGAACCAGTTGATGATGATTTGAAGTGTGGAATATGTTTCGGCGTACTAGAGGAGCCCTTGGCAACCCCATGTGGCCACGTTTTTTGTGCCCAGTGTATAATTCAGTGGGCAGCCGAAAGCGGATCATGTCCACTCACTTGCGAACAGATTTCTGTCGAGGATTTGAAGAAGATTCTGCCGCTCTGTAGTCTGATCGCAAAGCAAAATATTCGTTGTGAGAATTTTCGCCGAGGCTGTCCAGCGATTTTACACGTAGAAAATATTCAGTCACATCTTTTAAAATGTCACTATTCTAAGGGAAACACTTCCGGAGGTAAAATTATGGAACGCACTGCTAACTCCCCGGAAACTCGCGAATTCGCTCGAGTTGTTGTCTGTGAGAATGGCTGTGGTCTACCATTGCTGTACCAAGACTCCTCCACACATGACTGCATAAAGGCCCTTCAAACTCAAGTCGCTTCGCTTCAAATGAAATTGACAAGGGCGGAGCAGGAGAAGGAATTGGCCTGCGAGAGGATAGCGAGGAGAGAGGAGGCCAATCAAGATAGAATTTTAAATCTGGAAAATGAACTTCATAGCTACCAAGTTCAGGTGCTTAACTTCGAAAGGCAATTAAAAGAGTACCGCTTACAAGTGGGTTTTTTTCAGAAGAAGGCTGATGTGCGCTGTGACCAGGTACGTTGAAATTAGCCCAATCGGGCCAATGTTTGGTTTAAATTTTCCAATTGAGCGCGCACTAGCTATACGTAGCGAAATGTTTGATTTGAGGTATAAACCGCAGAATGGCTTGTGTGTTTATGAACGTGCAGTGACTCTACTAGATCAATACCCAGATCGTTTTGATCAATTAGTGTGCGCTGTTGGAGCTACATCGACTCTAACGATACTTCTTAGGAAACCTTGGATGCTGGACACGAACACGCTTCTTTGCGACGTATATTTTAACAGACAGAGCGCGCGATCCAAAAATATTCCAAGTTTGACATGAAAGTTGACGCATGGCACTAATCGTTCAATAACTTGCGCTTGGAACTGTGAAAGATGTTTGGCTCGAATCGGGCCATTACTTCGACACCAGACTGTTTTTCTTGCCACGGTGAGCGACACTTTATTGAGTTATGAGTAAACAGACACGAGCGAATATTATGCGATTTTTATACGCATTTGATTACAAATATCAGTTAGGCTGAGTTTTCTTTGCTTTTGTAGACCGCCGACGAGAATGAGGTCGAAATATCACTCGTCCGTGGGGACGGTGGCTCGCTTGGGTTCAATATCATGGGAGGCACAGAGGTATACAACTTTAGTTATTTTAGACAGGCCTAATGCTCTAAATTGTCACTTGCTTGAGAATTCCGTTTCTGTCGCGCAAACAAATCATGTTTTGCGTTCGAAACTAGTGACCGACGCTCGACAGGTTCTCAACATACAAACTGCGCGCATCATTTTCTATCAGTCTACCGTTGTGTTTTCTTTGCGACCCCTTACATTCTATCATGGTGTGCAACCCTCCTCGCCCAGGCATGTGATGCGAGATACGTAAAAAGATTAGCGCCCAACTAAAACCTTATCAAAGTCGTATTATTTTGTTATCACGTTAAGCACAGTTGAATCATGAACCCCCGTTTGTGGTAGCAGCCGAGCAATAGATAGAATCCCTGAAGAAAGACCTTTTCAATGCAACTGTTCTTTGTTTTGTTTTGTGTAGTCTTTGAAAGAATGTACTCGTAAACACGGCTGGAAGCCGTTGTTGTGAATTAAATAGCCCCACTTTTGTCTATTTGAAATTTTCATTGACCATGCTGTAGAAACCCACGCGCGTTTGCGTCCCGCATTGTTTGAAACGCGCGGAAAGTTCGGATGCTGTTACCTTACATTCCACCAAGTGAACTACGTGTCTTTGTTAAGGATTAGAAGTGAGCTATAGAATTTTCTTTTTATCCCCATTATCAGGTCGGAAACAATTCAGTTGGTGGAGGAATTGTGGTCTCAAAGGTCGCAGACGGCGGGCCAGCCTCGAAGGAAGACGGCCTGAAAATTTACGACGTGATCTTGAAGGTAAAATATGTGAGATTTTTTACAACCCGCCTCCTTTCAATAAAATCTCTCTCGCGCGTGTTTTTCGAGATGGCTTCTTTTTCATAACTGATTGCATGACATGGCGTCGTGTTGATTTTTCAATCGTATCAAATACTTTCGCGTTCGGAGCCGCGCTTCATTATTAAATCTCCTCATTGTCTAGATAACCTACTTTGCAAACCCATAACAGTGATCTGTTGTTCTTCTGTTCGGCTAAACATTGCTGCAGAGTTCTTTGCAATGGATTTATTTACTGAGAATTGATGGTAATTTAGCTCAGCGTATTTGTAGATTTCCGACTGTCAACTCTCGGATTAATGAAGTAACTAACAATCCATCTGCTTCCGCTAGAGAAGAACAGGGACTCTTACTTTCTTTATTACCCCTTGTAAACAAATTTGGCTTTTAACTTTGGCTATATTCATCGGACTTCATCCTTAACGAACTGGATTTCCCGTCGTAAGCGTTTTATGTCAGCAAACTCGAAACCCTTCGGCTCACGACGTTTAAATAGCTTTCAAAGATTACTATATTGTTATTCACAAGGAGTCGAATTGAGGAGCTCAAAAAGCCACTTTACTGTTTATTTTTCGCTCTGTTGTATTTCAATAGTCCTCACCGCGTGCTTAATGTATAATTCACGCGCTTTCGCAGTAAATCATAGTCGCATTTGTCTGCCAAAGTGCATTTACCACAGTTGGAAAATAGATGTCTTCGCTACGCGGGCCCCATGTGAATTGTCAATCTCTTAGTCTCAGTGGGAACCCATTTCGCTGTCACGCGAGGGTCTTATGGAGCCTTTCGTTCTGGCTGCGATAAGAAAAGCAAAGTTCCAATTTGGTTCTGTGTGCTTTTTGACCACCTGCTCCGTCCAAATAAATAAGACAAAGGCAAGGATCCATTGTGTGGGAAAAGTTCAGCTCTCGCTGTGCTTTTCAAAAGGCGTTTATCGGAAATTGATCTGTCAGTTGAACAATATAAAAAGTATATTTTGGGTTTCCAGATATTAGTTGGAGATCGATAACAATAGAAGATAAACCGCTTTCGTAACCCTAGGCGAGACTTGAGTTTGTCGATTTGTGGCTGGAGAAAAATAGAAGTAATCTTTAATTTATATCTACCAGTTTTTGTCTCAGAAAACTGCCTTTAAGGCATGGTTGTGAAAAAATACAGTATAAGTTTACGGATTTAACTCTAGATTTCTTTGATTGTCATTTTTGCCGCTTTAAAGGTCAAAAAACAACTGTAATGGATTAATTTGATGTTACTGAAGCACCTAACAGCGTTTCAGGATCGCGGCCGAATACTTTGCCCATACCTTTCAATCGTAAAACATGTCTGTTATTCCTCAGAAAAAACGAGTGGACTTTCTTAGCTTAAATTTCACGGAATCGCAAGTGAATCAATGCAGATTCCGGTAATGGAATCTAAAGCACGCATCTAACTAAGCTAAGCTGAAAACTCGTCGACATTCCCTCTTAAATTCGGCTATCTTTCCTGCAACGAAAAACTGTCTATTCTCAGAAATCAATTTAAGACAAAAGCGTATTTTGACCACGTCTGAATTGGTGGCAACTGTTGTCTAACCGGAGTCAATTAAAGCGATTTTAGTCGGGAATGTTATTTCTGTCATATCAGTTCTCGCGGTGAAATATCAAACTTTAAGAATCTTTCATCACTCAACTATGCTTTGGAGGGGAACTTCCGTTGCAAAAGCCTTAACCTCTTCGTGTTATGCAAGGCATTACGGAGACACACAGAGTAAATATTTTAATCCTTTTGTAAAGTGTTACAACGTTAAACAGGGACAACATAGTGTAATATGAAGTATTTTTCCATTATCCGACACTTAAAAGAGAAAACTCCTCAATGTCTGCAATGGACGGCTTTTTGCTAACCCTAATACAAAGAACATCAACATTCTGTTACAGCCATAAGTGAACCCTTGTAATGCGACAAAAGTGTTCTGTTTATAAAGTTGTCAAGTGTTAAGATGACCTATATTGCTTTTTTTTGCATTTTTTTTTTTTTTAAGGAGACCGAAACTATTCCTCAAAAAGTTTACCAAGTGCGTTTATATTTTTTAAACTCGCTATTTTTCGGTAATTGAATGGTTTGTTTGTATTGAGCTAGCATAAAATTTTCGAAATACCATTTCCTCTGATACTGCTTTGAGATCAATCATGGAGAGTCATCAAAGATTTTCCGTCATCTGAAGATTAATCGGTGTTTTATATTGGCAACTGTATGGGAGGGTTTTTCAAGTAAATTTGAATATCACCCGGTTTCTTGTTAGCAACATATTGAATCAAGTTGTGAATTTTTTATGAAATGTAGATTGTTTCACGCTGTCTCGCCGTTAATCCCTTAAAGTTTGTCAAATGCATTGTCGTTGCTTGTATTGTGGCGAAATACTGTTGCCTGGATTTTTTTAGAGCTTTTTGTGATTTCGTTTGAAAGATTAAAGTCGGCTTGGATTAATAGTTAGCGGTGCATTTGCTAAAAATTATTTAACCCACTACGTTACGATATTGGCCGTCCTTTGTCGTAACAGATGGTTATTGCTTCGTGAAACAAAAAATTTAAAGGGATTGTGCATGGGAATAGGCGATCCAGAAATGTAGTCTCTTTTTAAAAGAGGCATGTTGGGGAACTCATTTAAAATTTCCTGTCATTTGAGAAAAGTCAATTACGTATTATGTAGAATTTTCGAAGTAAAAAGAAAACCGCATGATATTTGGGTGTAGAATATATTTGAGTGGTATCAAATGCGATGAAGCAGAAAGGATATACAAGATGCAGTTAAATCAAATAAACTCCCTATGTTGAAAATTGTATGGACTAGGGAAGTTGTTATTTATATCTGCTCAAAGATGAAGTGGAATCGGTTTGTAAAGAAAGAATCTTTTTAAAATACTCATTACCTAAAGTGAAGACTTTATTGCTAGAATTTGACAGCAGACGGATTCGTTAGAGAAATTAGAAGAAAGAAAATATGACCCTTTAGTGTTAAATGGCAGCACTTTCTCTGTAATTTCGGAACGATGAAAGCTGCCATTATTTAATGTGTAGAGAATCACTTTGTCTCGCGAAGCAATACAAACGATGATGCTAAGCGATATGTACACGAACAAGTTATTCAAGGAACTGATATCAACAAATAACTTAGAGTAGAGTGGCAGACAGGCGATTAGGTTGTCAAAAGAAACCTGTTAATTTTACGATGAACAAGTCGTTAGCTGCGGACCAAAGAAATGCGTGCCAATTTTGCGATAATTTCGGAGTCAAAATTCATTTCGAAAGTGGTGGATTTGAAAGGGTAAAGGTTGTTAAATTTCAAACTAAGTGTTCTAAATTGGATTTTAAGAACACCAGCAGAATTATTTTGCATTATTTATAAGTGTGTTGAGCAGGTGTAATCTACACGAGACTGCGGAAAGCAAGCTTGTCGTTTTCTTTGTCATTATGTAATGAGCAATTTTTCTTCCGTGAAGTTGGTCGACCTCTTGAAACCGGTCTGATATAAACTTGTTGTCGGTGAAGAATAGAACTAAATTTTGGATTTTTACCTCTTTGGTTATCAACCGCGCAAAAAAATATTGTATAACGAATATATTTTAAGCTCGCTTCATTATCCTAATGACAGCTTTTTTCGACAAATGCTTTTTCACCTTATTTAAATGTAGTCTATGTTTGTCGCAAAAATTAGTTTCTTCAGGATATTTTGGGCGTGAGAATTACTTTGCCTTAAGCAGATTTTTTTACTGGTGAAAAATATATTTGACTTATTCAAAATAGTATTTTTCGGTGTGCTTTTATTATATTAATTGAAAATCCATGTTATTTTGTTACCTTCGTAATAGATATTTGAAACATCTATGGACAATAATTTCACTTTGATTACATTAGTTCATGGTATAAATTTTATGCAATGTGAAAGTTGCCTCGTGTATTTGTAAAAGTTATATTGAAGCTACCTATTTCTCGGAGAGAAGATGTGTTTGTTGCTTATGCAAAAATATTAATTACCTTAGGAACTGTGCATTAGTGAAAGATCCTAATTTTTTAATAACAAGACAAAATATTGACATTAACTCGAGTTCATCCGCTTTTTCGTTCTTGTTATAGGACAAATAAAGAAATAACCTCTCAAAATTTAATATTTTAATGTCACGACATAGTAAAGATCCCATTTACATCGCCGAATATTCCGTGAATATTCCTAAAACGTTTTACGCCTGAAAAAATTTGTAAACCGTTCGGCTCGGGTAAGAGAATTTCAGATCCATTTTGAACCAAACTTTGGTTAAATAAGGTTTATCCTACAGTTTATTAAGAAAACTACTACTTAGATTGCTAAATATAATTTTGTATTATTTTAATATTTTAAGAAAAAGAGGCCACTTTTTTCGTTGTTATTAAATTTTTTTTTGGTGCAAGGCTCGTTTTTAAACCTCATTTTGTTATCACGTGTATAGATAGAACAAAAAACTCGATTAAACTCGATTTTGGGTTTATTTAGGGTAAAATTTCCCTTCCTTCACAGGTATACTGGATTTTTATTACAGTTTTCGTTTAATTTTCCTTGGTTGATTGCAAATTTAGAAAAAAAATTATTTTTCAAAATTCGTAACCGTGTATACAACTTTGTCCTGAAATGAATATGCCTCACCTCGGTTGCCATGGCAAAGCATTGGACAAGGTGTTCATAACCTTTTTGTTGTAGTTAGTTTTTTTATTTCATTTGTTTTGTTGCTTTTATTTAGCAGTTGTTCAATTTTTCGATTGAACTCAGATTTCCAGCAATTCGCTAACTTGTCTTCTAAACCTCCTTATTCGACTGCAATCCCTATATAAACAGAAAGATTATCTAATGTTACCACTTTGAACAGGGTAAGCCAAACCCCGACGCGATGTATTTTTAGAGGCAAGGCAGGAAATATGTTTATATCTGTTTTGCAACAATGTCCTCTCGAAAATATCGCCTTAATAAAGCAAAGTTACAAGCATCATTTAAATGGTTTAAAGTGGTGTGCTTAAATTTCTCCTATCAGCGAAAGTTTATCAGTTGTGCATTCTTTTCGTCATAAGAAGCCATTCGCTATCTTTCCTGATACGAGCGACATATTGAAATGGTTCCCCTTTATCTCTATCAATCGATCAGTGAATGATTCTTAGTTATAAGCTGGAAAATATCGTCTAACGTACATTTTGCAAGTGAAAACTCAGCTTTGTAAAGTCGCAAGGCGATAATGAAACTGTAAGATAAGATTCGCCTTCGACCGAATCAGAAAAACCGAAAATAAGGGCACAAAAACTTTTCATTAGCATAGAGACAAGTCTTTGTTCCATCTTAGACTGCGAGTGTTTCGTTGAAGTAACCATAAGGAATTTGACTTCTTTGTGGTTACAACTTACAGGATGTGGTTTTAATTGATGGTTGTAAATGACGTAAACATGGCAAGCATATTATGGATATTTCATTTCTCCGTTCGTCAGTCGATTCGCTTTACAGAGTCAGCCGAAAGTAGAATTAAACTATGTACATTAGCAATCTTGTTAGCCGGTCCGTGTTTCTGGAATGATTTCCAATGAAAAGCACCAGGCTTGAGATTTAGGCGACAGTGTTATGCTAAAATGAACATCTCGCCATTGTCTGAAACTCTTTCCCCCTTATTTCATTATTAATTCCTGTCTGCTAGTCATTTCCTTTAATTTTACTGCTAGAAATTTGGTCTGAATTCAAATAATACACCCAAGCTGTTAGTTTACTTAATTCTGATTGCATTTATGCTCGGCGATGTACTGATAGTGAAAAGTTAATTCGTACACCCCGAAATTAGAGCGTCATTTCCATAGAATGCAAAACATCTAACAATTCAGTTGACAGTTGTTCTTAGAGAGTACAGGAGAACTTTTTTTAAAAGAAAAATTTGAAGTCAACTGTGCCGTGACCGATCGTGTGATGCGTAAAGCTGAGGTTGAAACGCCAAAAGCGTACAAATGGATATATATTCTCAAACACATACGTTCCCAATTTATTCCATTTGGTAATTTTATTCCACCTGCCCCTCGCAACAGTGGGTCAAACATTTTTAATGGACACTCTTATAAGCCTGGAGTGAATTAAACACTGGAGACGAATTATTAAATTCTCTCGTCGATATCGTTTTCATGTAAACATTACATGCACTAAGTTCGCGGATGTTACTTCTTGACATCAGATGGACTCTCTGATGTGTATTAAATGACGCGAATGACAGCGCATTTCATTCGCGTTACTTATATCAGTGACAGTTTATCATTTGCAATGTTATCTTTAATGACAGTAAAAGATATGTTCAGTGAAGACTCGTGAGAGTTATATTTCACAGCGACGCGTATTCCACTGTGTTTTTTTTTCCTAGTCAGAGGTGTGATGTATCCAGGACTATTCCCTTAAGCAACCGCCTTTTGGCATGTCACGCCAAGCTTCCTCTCTTTTCGAAGAGCGTTGCGTGACACAGCAAAAACGGCTGCTATGGAGAGTACCGATTTTGTCGTTAGTTGCAACAAAATTATTCTAGAATTCTTTCCGTCCTTCTGAACCGCTCTCAAAGAAGCGAGAAATTCGATAAACAAAAGTTACATGTTGATCTTCTCTCGATCTCAGGTGAATGGTATCGATTTGACTGAGGTCAGTCACGCTACAGCTGTAGAAGTCATCAAAACTGCTTCGGAACCGCTGAGTATTCTAGTGAAGCGAAAGTGCATCGACTCCATCGTCGACTGGGTACCTTGTCTAACTTCAACAGGAACGCAAACAGAACTTTTTCTCTCCCAAGACATGGAAAACGTGGATACGGACAGCGGAATCCATGATCGATACAGCCCAAGACAAGACCTGCTTATTCCGTTTGAGAAATCCCTCGACGACGGAACGAGTAGCTCGGAGTGTTCCCACCGTCGGATAGAGTCATTCTGTAGGGAAGATGTAGAAAATTTCCGCTCAACAAGTGAGAGTTTGCCAAGCTCAGAAAATATTGTTGGCAGCGAGCAAGGAACATTGCCCCGCGTCAATCTTCTTGTGAAGGATGTTAATTACGTACGTGACGTCGATGAGAATTCAAGCTGTGATTTGCAGTCTCAGCCCTATGTGACAGCGGTTTCCGACGAGATTTATTTCGATCCCGAGTTTGATTACGAATACGAGGTAACGTTATTTAGTTGGTAAAACCCGAACGATCGTTTCACCGATATATTGACCGTTCTGCAACCTTCGTTTTTGCTTTCCATCGTGTTATTTTAGTTAGTTAAAAGTAAGTTGTAGATCAGTTTAAACGTTTTTTGTGAAAAGTTGGATCACACGCTCGACGGTTGAACTGACCGACTGGGTTATTGACTCAACTGACAACACACTGACTGTCAGACTGACTGACTGACTGACTGACTGACTCTCTGACTGACTGAGTAACTATCTAATTGAACGACTGACTTACTGGTTGACCGGCTGACCGACTGAGTGACTGTCTGATGGACTTTTACTGATTGACTGACTGTCTGTCTCACCGACTGTCTTACTGACTCATGGACTGACTGCTTGGTATAGATGGTCCATTCCTTCTAAAACCTCGATTTAGCGCATAAAATAGAGGTGCTGCAAAAAGTTTGAGGAGTTGGAAGATAAACACAAAAGCTATAACATCAGCTAATCGAAACAACGATAATTATCAGGGGCGTCTAAAAAGCTCCTGGAGTAACCACACCAAGCCAGTCCTAAGCGCGCGAAAGCGCAATTTACGAATTCCTGGTTGCTGAGAGAAATACATGCGAAACTGATTTTTTGAGGTGTTTCCGCCATATTTATAGACCTCTTAGAGACGGGGCCTCAAGTGCAATCCTATGTTACTCTCAACCTTATGTAAATATTGTTAGATTAAAGTTTTGTTTATTTATTTCTTTAAGGAAATAACCCTCTGGATAGCAAACAGAGATCTAGGATTAACATTCTGTTGCGCCGAAGAAGACGAGTCTACAGTCTATGTGTGCGAAGTAAGTTAGACTCACAAAAATATATCGTTTGGTTGGTGTTTAGTGCCCTGCTCGACGTACTGAGTACTTTTGAAGTTAGACGGAGCTTAGTACTTTTCATAATCATGAGGAAACGCTTGGGTAAAAAACACAAGCCTTTGATTAAATCACTATGTGCGCTATGTGTCCATTAGTTGAAATAATTACATGATTTCGTAAAGAACGTGCTCGTGCGTACGTTAAAAGCTAGTAAAGTAATTTACATGCCTAAACAGGGGGATGAGGGTTTTCAACTCGTCCCGTTTGATTTCCTACTTTAAAAAGACAAACAAACAAACAAACAAAACAAAAGCGCAAAAAAAAAAACAGAAATTCATCCTCGTGTTCTTTGCTACCACTGAAGGCTCGGTTCCGTGGTGCCCCGGCAGACATCTGTCAGAATGTGTTTCTGTCTCCGTGTTTTTGTTTACCCAGACAATGGTTTCTTATTTAATCCACTATCCTTTTTAGTGCGCGCAAAGAATAATGTGTTAATTAGCGGTCTCCCAAATCTTGTTAAGTCCTAACAAAACACAAAAAGAGCTCGCGCAGCCACCCACGGAGAAATCTTATTAGCTTGACAAAGCAGGACCTTTGATCTAGTTTGTCAGTGTTGGATCGAGTTACGCATTATTTCCCAGACATTCATTCTGTCTTACAGAGAAACTGTTGGGATGCACTTTTGGAATCTCTTTACCTTCGCCTTTACAGAGGGTCTCAATAGGGTGTTGGCTCTTACCCATTACGGTTAAAATTTGTCAAGTTTACACCTAACAGCAACATTTTTGTATCGTTGTACTCTTTGAGCCCCTCTTTACATTCATGATGCCCGTTTGGAGATCAAAATTACTTTGTCGTTCATTTGAAATCCCCACCCCCACATTTGAGGTGCGCGTTTATCTGAAGACCGGTTGACAATGCCATGGAGCGAATAGGAGGATTGTTTTCTTCCCCCGCATGGACGGAATATCAGTATAATATACTTATTTATATTCCTGTTTGAAGTAAACGGGCACTGGGAAAGTAATCTGTATGACACAAGAACACAACATATTGCCACACTCAGGAACTTCGATCCTAAGTACTAATGCTAAGCGTCTCGTACTTAGACCCAAAGGGGGCAGTGGAAGAGAAGCTTATTTTAACCCTTCAACTCTCAAGATCTGATTGTTAATTCTCCCCTCTTGCTGCGAAACATTTCCCTGTAAATAAGTTAAGAGAATTTGTTGTTAGATCTCATTGACTGTTTACTGGATGGTGCATGGATATTGTAAGGAGAAGTTACTTGTTAATCACTTCTGGAAGGTAAAGGGTTAAGTTATATTGGAACCGTTCGAGCAGGGAAATCAACGTAACGAAAAATGCGTACTATTTTCTTTTTCCTGTAGATTGAACCTGGGTCCGTTGCGTACCTTGATGGAAGATTGACTTTGTGCGATACAGTTTTAAAGGTATAACTCTCTTAATAGTTAATCGAAATAAGAATCTCGTTTGAAGCACCAGCGAGATCATGGTGTCCACGTAAGCATACGCGTTTACCATGCGCGATTAGCATGCGCGTGTAGCATGTGCGTGAAAACGTGCATGCTTTAGTGGAATGGCTACAAAGTGTGATGGCTCATTTAACTATACTCTTTTTTACTTAACCGAATGCTGCTCTCTAAAAATGTTGGTCCGTAAGATTTTATATGAAAAACATTGTTTCTTTCTTTTCACAGATAAACGATTTTCCGGTGACCCATCTCAGTGACATTGAACCATTAGTCTACGAATCAACCTCGACTATTAAATTTCTTGTGGCGAGACCTGCGCAGGAGGTGTGTGATCTTAAAAAATATGTATAAATATATATATATAGATATTGCTTCTTGTCAAAGATTTCCCCTGAATGACTATTCTTCGCCTTGATTAGCATGCCAGACGAACAGGGATGGCGTATACGTGAGAGCTTCGGCGTTCCTCGCTGTATTTTGGGTTTGATTCGTCGGTTTTCGTTCCTTTTGGAAAGAAAAAGTCTCGGCGTGTTTTTGCCAAATCTAGCCATGATATCATTTAGTTTCTGAGTTCTGTTTGGTAAAAAAAGTGATCGGCTATGAGTTTGTTTGGTTCACCAGCCATGGTGTCTAGGTTTGCAAGCCTTGAAGATCATTTTGGTCAGCTCGGCAAATTTACCATCTTGCATCCATCGCGCGCTCGTGAATTAATCGTTAAATATTCCATGACATGACGAGAACATTCCGGCTCAGTTCTGCGGTATCTGAGAGAGAACATTATTTACCCTTTATATGAATTAGATTCTCGTGGATAATTAGTTTTGAAGTTTGCTTACTTAGCAAAGGACTGTGACAACCTTTGAAAATCATCATACCCTCTTAATAAGGTCGTGGTGCGCTCAGCGCGGCGAGATTATGATATAAGATGTTTACCGTATCTCGCTGGATTAACAGGAAAAAAGTTGATTGGAAAGGATTCGAAACTTTGGATTACGTTCTTTAATGCCGCCTTAAATCAAAGACGAGATAAATTTTATTTATACAAGGCGAATATTAGAACATTGGCATTCGAAAACTGCACTCAAACTCTAATTGACAAGAAGCTTATGCTAACAATTGATAGCCTTTGATATGCACGCGTTACAGACCATAAGAATGAATTTTTCCGAGTCTTGCCAGTTTCAAACCTTTTAGGTGAAACTTGTGTCAGTTATTCTGTGGTCTCGAATATTTCAGCAGCTTAGGCGAGTATGCGATTCGTTTCCTGTCTTTTTTTTCTCTTTTTTGATTCAACTCTTTGAAGTAATTTAATGAGGTTAAAAGTACTTGAAGGATAAGAGTGTTCGGGTCCTTTGTAAATATTCAAGGCTAATAAACGCCGTTTGTGAATAAAACGTAATTAAAGACGAATCCAAGAATGACATAAGCCAGAGTTGTTTCTCTAGAAAAAAGTATTTTAAGGAAAGATGAAACGACTCGAAAACCATTTCGTGTTGCGAAACATCCGAAATTACCCGGCCTGTGTTGCCATGCATAGCTTTAATGTCAATGAAATATTATAAGTGATTTTCCACAACTCAAACAAAATCGGCCATTTCAGACAGAAGTTCAGACTAAGCTTGTGTTTACCGTCGAAGTGATTCATTGCAATTTCAATTTAATCTCATTTAACACCGGGATTTCTCTAATCTTCAAAGATAGCTCAATGACAGTGAGTAGTCCTTTCAAATGGTTTCGGAAATCCACGATCGTTTGAAGTCACGCAAGTTTGTAGCCTTGCGTGTAAGTTTGTGTACTTAAATGTAAAATCGCATACCTTATCACAAATGGAAGATGTTTTAATAGCGGTTTAAGAAATAACCCCGTCGTTATTGAAAATGCTGTGAAAATCATTCTTCGAAGTTAATTCTTGTCACGAAAACGTTGTGCACGCTTCGAATCACGAAAATCGTACAAAGAAGTTTTCGACAACCTGTAGTTCTTTTCTGTTGTCACGTGCCTCAATTACTTCGTGTGATTAAAAGAACGAGTTACATCTTGAGAGAATCGTTGAAGTACAAACCTGGAACACGTTCATCAGCTAATTAGGTTAATTTTCTCTTCATCACTGTTCTTAAACGAGAAAGGGATTATCCTTGAAATTGTTCTTCGCTAAGGACAGCTTATCTTACACGTCCCTCGCTGTGCATTTATTTTTTAATCATGCGGCTTTGCGCAAAGATGATAATTTTAGTTCCTTTTGAAATTATCGTGCCCTCCTCTAATACCCACCTTGATTATTTCAGGGGATTAAGCTATCATCTTTGACGCAGGCATGCTTTTCAAGGTGTCCTCTGAAGGAAAGGTGATGAAATTTTACGGAGCCCCCCTAACCTGAACAATGTTGTTTGTATTTGCTATCACGTGAAAGCTCGTACACAAAAATTTCGAACAGTCGGAGCAAAGGTGGCAGCTTTTGGTACTTCTAGCGTTCAAGAAGTACCAGTGCAGACGATTTTTATATTTGCGTTGTCAGTAGTATGAGTAATCAAAGAGTTGATGTCGGATCAAAGCTTCCTTTTTGTCTTGAAAACGTATTCTATTTTTTTCCTAAATGACTTCCATTTTTTTGTGGGCAAAACTTAAATTATGGTTAAAGCATTATCTACCAAAAAAACAGTTTTTTTTCTCAATCATTACTGCGAAGCGAAGCTTCTAAAATTTAATCCTACATATTATAAAAAGGATCAATTTAACCGCAGATTTCCGAGCTTTTGAAGAATGTGACTACGAATTACGTCCGTGTCAAACCACTTAGCGGGACCTTGAATCAGCTTATTGGAAAAGTTTAAAGCGTTCTTTTAGTGAGCTAGAAAATAGAATCAAAATCTTCTTACTCCAAACAAATTAGATTATTGGCGGTGCATAAAAGGATGTTACCCAATCTTATTAAATTCCCTGGTAAGCTCTATTAAATAGCAATAATTTGTCAAAAATTTCCGCTCTAAGGCTTAAACTGACTTAGCTCCTAGTGGGATACTGGCTAATTATAATTGAGGAATTCCCCAAACGATACGTGGAATTCTGAATAGCATCCATTGTTAAGAAAAACGTTTTGAAATAAATCAATCTGACAATAACAAAAAGGAAAGCCTGAAAAAAACTCTTCAGGCACCAACGGGCCTCAAGCCCATGCCACCCAGATGCCTGTTGCACGGTGCCATTTATTAGGCTACGTAGCCACGTGTATGACAGAAGCGAGGTATTGTAGAGTGAGTTGAACTCTTCAAAGGGGTTTGTTTTATTCGCACTGCACTTGTGAATACCAGTGTATCATATATCATCTACAGGTCAGTTGTGGTTATGTCATACCACTATCGGTTACCGTGGCTACTTTCATTCTGTTAACGGTATTCCCTTTCCCATCCGGATTCTGGGGAAAAAATTGAAAAAAAAAAGAAACTGGCTCTAAGAAACAATCTTAAGATAAAATTCCTGGAAATCCATGGGAATTCTCCAACCTATTGTGCCGTAGTGATTATAGTCACTTAGGGGTATATATTTGAGGAAAGCTCTAGCGGGGATTTGCCACCAAAACCTTGAAAACCCGACCAAGTCTCTTACCTAGACCTTCCTCAGCCGGGCGATCGTAAGGGTGAAGGTTAAGGTACATTGCAGTGACATAGTAGGACTGGGTGCGAGATTTACCCCGACCCCCTGTGACACTTATCTTGTGTAATTGGTAAATGCTGTTGGGTATATTGACAACAAACCGTTCTTAGGGTACCTCCCTCTTCCCTTTCTATTTCGTCCTAGCGCCATTTCATATCTATAAATTTGTATTGTAGGTACGAGCGACTCTTGTTGGCAGCGAGGGAAGTCAGGAATGGTGTTTCGTGGATCCGATTGATGCCGAGCTGAGCAACTTCAGAATTGACGTCATCAAAGAGGAAGACGAAGATGTAAACGAAACGCTTAACAGCGAAAAAGCAAACGGTGAAAAATGCGAAAAGGACAGTGGTGTTGGAAGAACAGATGAGAGCACCAAAAATGACGAAAGCTCTGAGCCAGAACTCGGAGAGGAAGCCCTGCAACCGGCGGATTCTCGGAGAAATTCTCAAGAAAGTAGCGATAAATGCTCAATTAAGGACGATTCTGACATGCGCGAACGACAGGGAAGTAACGCCTCGCGAGAGAAGGAAGACAGAGCGTTTTCTCCTGGGGATAACAACTGTGGGAAATCTCGTGGCCATTCTGGGGTAGACTCTAGTCGAAGTAACAAAGAGCGCTCACCGGAAAATTCTCGCTCACGGCGTCACAGCAACGGATCGCCGAATAAAAAATCTCGCTCGCCTACGCGTAACGGTGGCTCGCCTCCTAAAAAGGAGAAGGACAAGGAAAAGAGCAAAGAACGGAGAAGAAATCGTGATTCGCATAAAGACAATCACCATGATGAATCTCGTGGTGAACGGGAGCGAAGCCGACATTCCGAGCCAAAGCGTAATAGCAAGTTAGGCAACGTAAGCAGGACAATACGCGCTTCTTACATAAGGGCTGTAAGTAAGGACTCGACTCAACACATTAATTTGATCGGAGAATCGGACGTCTTTGGAAGGAGTGATTATCCAGATCATCGAAGTAAAAAGAAATCAAACCTTATTGAAAACCAACCACTGAATGGTTCTCAGCAAAACATTGAATGGAAGGTGCGCATGTCGAAGGACGGTAGTCAAATTTTTGTGCGCAAGAGACCAGCGACGCCCGCTCGACAAGCGCGGAACAAACTTCTGCGCGAACGTGCGCAAAAAATCACGGACGAACGCAAAGGTATTACGACTGACGATGATGCGCAAACTATTTATCAAGGCCGCTATTGGCCGAGAGAGGACCGGAGACGACATTTAGAACGGGTGCGAGAGGCGCGCCGGAAAAAAATCCAAAAACTGCAACAACTGAAAGAATGTGAAAGCCCACACACGGGCAGCGGTTCAGAGAGTGGCAAAGGACGTCGAGATATCATTGTGGAGATGAGTCACCGTAAGATGAATAGAAAACAGTTCGACGATTTTACCACAGTTCGAGAGTATTTAACTCAACGAAACCCGGATGGGTCACCTGTGGGACCTATTCACGTGACCACAGTGTAATGGGTCACCTGTTGGCCCTATTCATTTGATCACAGTTTCAAGAATAACGTATCTGTGAAGCAACAATTGTGGATAAATGCGTGAAAACTTCAGAGATCACAGGCCACAAATACTAAGCTCTTTGAAGCCAGGAGATGTTTTAATAGCCTTTTTTGTTTTGTATTTTTTTGTTGTTGTTGCGCTTTGCTCTCGAGGTAACAGAAAGACCTGGAAAGAAGTGCATAATTACTGTACGCTTGCTGAAGTTTGGCGGGAAACGTTGAAATTGACGAGTGACGCTGACGCTCGCTTGAAATGTACAAAGCAACGTATGTTGGTGGGAAATGACCGCATACATGGCGCATGTGTAAACACCCGTACAGTACCTTAACTAGAATCTGGGTGTTTACTGAAGCTACCGACCACATTTCCAAGCAGTAGGTTATTTATGAGGTCTCTTTGTCTTCATACTAAAAAGGATTAGACACCTTTTTATAACCCATTTGCGTTTACCTGTCTTTAATCCTTATTGTAAAGCTACTGTAAATGTTTTATTAGTTTTATGTTATGAAGTAACTAAAAAGTCAGCCAGAAATAGTCTATTTAAGTTTATTATCCAATATTTCGCAACTGTTGTTTGTCGGTCATGTATAGTTCCTCTAAGAGTTGCGTCGGCCAATTCACCGTCTCTACTCGGTATGGCTTGTAATTTATTGCCAAAAAGTACAGTAAAACATCAAATTCTCGGATTCTATCTATGTATATAGTAAGAGATGTAGTATTATGAGAAAAAGAATATTAAGGTCCAAAAATTACATCAATTTTACGAACTATCTATCAAATATTTTATTGATGTTTTTGTTGTCAAACAGCGAATTAAATGACAATGGTCTACTTTGCAGTCACTCCTTATAGTGTACAACGTCATTACGCCCCCCCCCTCCCTCCACACTTACAAATGCACACTTACCCCCCTTTCCCAAAAACTGGCTGCAAAGGAGACAAATATGACTAAGAATTGAAGTCAAACCTGTTTCCATTTAAGAGGATTTTTATCAGAACAATTTACCGGAAGTTTTAAGGCCTCTATTGTTTGTTGGTTTTTTCGGTTAATTATTTAGTTTAATGTTTTTCCACCAATTCTAAGAGGTAAGATTTTTTTTTCTTTGTTAAATTCTCTGTCAGCCTTCATTTCTTGCTGGTTTGACGAACAGAAACGCAGCTAATTGCAAATGCACATAGTGAACTTAAATTAGACCAACCGTTTATGGCCTGATAAAATGGGCTGAAAGGTAGAAATATTGTAAATAAAACTACTTGTTTTTAAGCTGGATGCACGCGTTTGTTTTTTCTTGACTTAAAAACATAAGAGGCTTGTTTGAGATCGAGTTAAAACATATTCAAACTCCTCTCCCCTCCCCCCTTCCCCCCCCTCCCCCCCAACAAAAAAAAATTACTTGAAAGCATATCTTTTATGGATCAGGGAGGTTTAATCTCAGTCAAATGAATTACTTCGACTCGCCTCAGAAGGCGTGGATGAACTTATCGAAAATCAGATACTAAAGCAAAATAGATATTGTTTTCACTAGATAAACTTAAAAATGACTTGGGATGAAAATGATTCATGCGTTTTTGCTTATTCTCGGTACGTCAGATTTTCGGGAATTAGATCAATTTTGTAGCATAAAATTAGCATTCCTCGTCTGCGAGACCATAATATAAGAGTCTGGCGAACTTTACCTTTTGTATGCGGGGCCAAAAAAAAAATAAACCAAGGAAATTGTCTAGAATACAATTAGCCTTTTTTTTTGTGATATTAAGAGTAAAAATGAAGGATAAAGGGCTGGGAACGACAACATTCTTACAATCCGCCGGAGAAGAGACTGGTAACAATCATCAAACATGGCGGACGAGAACCGGAATGATGGACTTTTCACGTAGCAGTCTTAGTTTAACAATGTCTTCGAGTTTTGAAGCGAGAATCACAATGGATGATATTTTTTATTGGAATGAAAAGATTTTCCTTCAAGGACACATGTTGAAATTTGCGAGTTGTTCGTAAAAATGTGAAAAACGCTGTAAATATGGCGGGACTTTTAAATCATGTTTTGCATGTTGAGAAAGCTGTTTCACTTTCGTTGCCTTTGAAATCAGGCGCGGCGTTTTACAGGACATTTCCATCAGCGACGGGAAAATATTCATCCTCTTATGTTCCTCTGAAAACGGTTGCAAGTATTCAAAATCGTACGCGATCCCTGGTACAAGCTTTACGATCTGCAAAAAATGAACAGTCGTGGTTGATTCGTTTAGAAGAGTTTAACGACCACATCCTTCGTTATCAAGGTGTCGGCAGGAGTCAAGCTATTCGAGAAGAAGCCATCAGCTTTCTGCTAAGTGTTAGAAAGAAGGGAAATAAAGAGGTTCGTAAGGAAGCGCAAAAAGCGCTGGCGTTACTGGGATGGGTGGATCCCGTCAAGGGAAGAGGAATCAAAGTGCTGTCGATCGATGGAGGTGGAGCAAGGTAATTTATGTTTGATCTCATGATGTGAGTGGGAGACGCAGCGGCGAAATGGTTAATGTAATGCTCTCTGGGCCGAGAGGTCTGGGTTCAAGATGTGGATGGGTCATTGTGTTGTCGGGCTAAACACTTTAATCTCGCAGTGCTTCTCTCTACCCAGGAGTAGGAATGGGTACCAGCGAATTATCAGGGAAGCCTCGTGACATGTTGGGGGGTAACCTTGGGATGGACTGGCATCCCATCCAGGGGGGAGTAGTGATACTTCTCGTTGCTTCAAGCCATGGAAACCAGGATAAGTACCGGCTGGATGGGCCACTTGGCTCATGTACAGACTTAAGTAACATTTAACCTTTAACTTACATGTATATTGTGATCATCAGCATCAGTTCTAACCAGTTCTGTCAGGGATGGTTAGCGAATTTTTGTCATTTTTTTGTGGAAGTTATCTTGTCAGTCTTGTAGAAGTCTTCATCGCTTGACTATGACTAAAGTGGTGTAACAGGGGGCAGTTTTTGATAAATTTCTCATGAAAAAGGATCAATGTTTGAGCAACTGATCACCTACTCCTCCCTTAACCCAACATTATTCTAAACTTGTCATCAGTTGAAGTATAGTTATTGTCAGTAGGTGTTTTCTCTGCCAAGCTATTCTATAGCAACATCATTGATTTCTCTATAGAGGCTTGATGGCAATTGAGATCTTGAAAAGAATTGAAGAAATGTGTAACAAGGAGATTCATGAATTATTTGACTTTATCTGTGGAGCGTCAACAGGAGCCATTTTAGCATTTCTGATTGGTATCAAGAGAGTTCCTCTGGAGGAGTGTGAGCACACTTATAAAAAGCTCAGCATGGATATATTTGAACAGAATTCTTTTATTGGAAAAGGAAAATTATTCCTGAATCATGCCTATTACGACACAGCAAAATTTGAACAGATTCTCAAGTAAGTTCAAGTATGTTTGAAATTTTAAGGTTCTAATAGCACAATCATGTATATAACCTTGCTTCAATGTCAATGTTACACTTTACATGTTTGTTTTTTTTTGTTTATTTGTTTGTTTGTTTCTATTGGGCCTATTATAAAAGATGTATTTTGCATTTCCTTAGAGCAACCTAATCTTGTGAAACTTGTTATCAAATGTGCTCAAAATTTGTCTCCAGATGCAGCCATTTTTGATCTTGCCAAGCAACTAGGTACCTGTTTCTTGAAGGTCCTGGTAACTTAACAGGCCTAGAAAGCTGTTTGGTTTTCCTTTGAGATGGGGGTTTCAAATGTTTTGAAAATTGTGCTATTAAACTATCAGCTAAAGAGAATGAATGGACTGGTAATGGTGTCAAAGCTTGTCTCTCTATTGAAATTTTGATTTCAAAATATGGCTTTGGGCCTGTCAAGGTACTGGAACTTTCGAGAAATGGGCCCCAAGTCACTCATGGTTTTTGTGATGACCAAAGGAGTCTTGGATATCTGTTATAGAACAAGGACCTACACAAAAAGACATTCTAACCTCAAATAATGATTTGAGGGAATGATAAGAGATTGAGTCACTTATGAGCCCCCTGAGGTGCATTCTGCCATTTAAGTTAGCTTCAATCTGTAATTGTGCAGCCAATTTATCTCTTTTGAATCATTGAACATTGTTAGCAATAGATATTTCCTTGTGACGTTGATGAATACAATATGGCTTCAGGAATGTATCTTACCTCTTCTTTAGACAGAGGTAATACTCTACATGTATATTAGACACTGCGAGTTAATTCTAAGGGTGTATTGAGAGACTGTTACCAAACTATTTGGTGTTCAGTCTAAGTTCAAGACCCAGCAGGGTCATGGTGTTGTGTTCTTGGCCAAGATACTCTGCTCTCACATCACCTCTCTTCACCCTGTTGTATAAATGGGTGATAGCGAATTATTAGAGAGGACTGGCTGGTGAGGGGAGGACTGAGTGAGAAGACTGGTGTGATGCTGGGGGTGGGGTGGGGTAATGTTGTAATGGACTGGTATCCCATCTAGTAGAGAAGAGTGGAAATGATTCCAGTCTCATCATGCTGTGGAACTGGGATAAGCTTCAGCTGGACAGACCTCTTAGCATAAGTACAGACTTTATCTTTTTAAGTGAAAAAAGGGATGGATTTTATAAAAAAACGGGTCACTACAACTTTTTAAGTTCTAGAGTCAGTTGTCCAGTTTCACCAATTGGAGTAACTTTCTTTTGTGAATAGGAATGAAAGTGGAGATGAACGATTGATAGATTCAGCTAAGGACTCAGCAACACCTAAGGTATAATTAACTGTCTGTTCTGTCTAAAATGAACATCCTAGTAATAAAAATTAGGCTTTCAACAGATGGAGGTGTCAGGTTAATAAACAGATATATGATCTAACTATGCAGATATATTTTGAAGTTTGAAGTTAATTTCTGTTCAAAGTAATTTTCAATTGAGCTTAGATGCTTTTTTTCCCCTGTTTTCCTAGTACATGTGCATCAACAAAATACAAATCAAATAAACTTGAAATCAATTAACTTGAAGTAGGTATAATTTCAATGTTAGGGTGGCTCTGAATTATAGTTCTAGATTTTTCTTAAACTTTTAAATAGATCACTTTTGTCCTGTTCACCAGACTATCAAACTTGTTTTTGAATTAAAGAAGCTTTTAATTTGTATTTAAGATATCCCCCTGTAATAGAATATGATAGTTTTCATATCACTCTCAAGGGAACCCATAAAAATTGTGATAAAATTGTTTTCTCTAAAAAAGCTGATTGTCACTCAATATAGCAGCTATAATTTTTACTAAGAAAATACTGAGCACTTTCTTGCCAAAATCATGCCTGCTATGCAGGTTACAAAGCACAGAAATTACAACATCTACCAGAAAATAGGGAGAAGCTGGCAGAGGTGTTAGAGTTTCCAATTTTGGTCTTCGCTGTTGCCATAAATGTCCATCATGCTCCAACTTCCTTTAACAATTTGTTATTCCCTCAACTGTGCAGGTGGCAGCAGTATCTACAGTAGTCAACCATTCCTTACTGATGCCGTATGTCTTCAGTAACTACACACACCCTTATGGTTCCAGCTCTAAGTTTCCTCAGAGCTGTAAGTATAGGCTGTGGGAGGCACTCAGGGCATCCACTGCTGCTCCTGGCTACTTTGAGGAGTTCAAACTTGGAAATAACATCCACCAGGTTGGAAAATTTTTTTGCAAAATAAAGGATCAATGTATTTATTAGTTACAATCATAGAGAACTCCTTCTACATTGGTTTATTTAACAATTGGTTCATGCTTAGCCTGTGAATATCAAGGTATGCATGCATATGCAAAGTTTGAAGAGCACACATGTAGAGTAACAGTTGCTTGAGGCACAGCTGAGGGCAACTCCAGCTTCTTGGCACTCAGGTTAAAGTGAGAGAATTTGGAAAGCTAATATTTTTTGACAGCCATGTGTTTCTGTGCTTCTTTGCTCCTTCTCTCCTGGCCTACCCCTCCCTGTGTTTTGTCCTTCTCTCCCTCTACTTTGTTCCTCAGTCATCTTTCCTTCCTTTTCCTTTCCTCCTTTCATAACTTTTGCCATCTCTTTCCATCCCAATCTCCCTCCTTTCCAAATTTTTCCATTTTTTTCTACTTCATCCTTCCCTACTCCTGCCCTCTTTCCTCCTTTTGTTCCTATTCCCCTTCTTTCCCATTATCTCCTTTCTCACCCATCTTTTCCCTCTCCTTCTCTTTCCTTTATTTCTCTCCATATCCCTCACTCCTCTCCTACATTCTCTCTCTTTTCTCCTACCCTACTAATGTCACCCATTTTCCTTCCAAAATGGGAATTTCCGATAGGATGGTGGACTCCTCACAAACAACCCTTGTGCAATAGCTGTCCATGAGGCTAGGCTACTCTGGCCAGACGAACCCTTTCAATGCATTGTGTCCCTTGGTACTGGCAAGTACAAGGGAAGGTCTGGCCCAAGCACTGAAGAGTTTAGCAGTCTGAAGGAAAAACTGTTAAAAGTTGTGGCTAGTGCAACAGATACAGAAGGTGAAGATTAAAAAACAGTTGTATATGATAGTGGGGTTGTCTTTTCTTTTTCTCTTTTGAAAACTTAAAGGAAAGTTCTCTTTTTGATAAAGAGGGTCAGCGTAATTCTGCAGTAGTGAAAATATAGAGGAGTTCTGAACTGTAATAACAGATTTTATTTAAAAAATACAGTGAGAAAAGTTTCTGAAAGTAATTTCAAACATTTCTTCAACTTTTTTTAATTTTTAGCAATAGACACTGTTCTCAGTGACATACTGCCCAAGTCAGTGTACTTTCGGTTGAACCCAAACTTATCAACTAATGTACCCATGGACGAAGGCAGGATTGAAATGTTGGAACAAGTTCAGTTTGATGCCAGAAAACATTTGGAAAAAATTGATGAAACTTTAAAGACTTGTGCAAAAAATCTTCTTCAAGATAAGACTGTTCTAAATCGTGGAATGGACAGGTTTAGAAATTGGTATAGGACTACATGAGCAGACATTTTTGTTATGAACCTTTACAGCCTGACATCAATATGCATATTCTCCATTCTTTTCTTTATACATTTCCTAAGGTGTTGACAAGGAGAATTTGGTTAACAATCAAGAGCCTCTTGAGTTGTTGATCATTTCCTTTATTCTCATGACCTTAATGTGTGATTCAGGGGTGATATTGTAAGGAGAAACTAGATGTTGGTCACTCTTAGCAGTCAAAGGGTGAAATAAGTTTTTTTAGTTCAAATTTACATGCAGTCAGTTGCAAAAACAGTATTGTTTGATTTTTTTCATTAAATGCACCTTCCATGAAGGTGTGTTTGAAAATAAAAGACTGTTTTAAAGTGCTATGGAATGCAAATGTCATGTACCTCGGTGCAAAACACCCTCAAGAAATATAAGAAGGGGGGAGAGGAAACAACTAGGCTTAATTCCAAAGCTTGTTAATTTTCCTCTTATTCCATTTTTTTCCTTTTCTCTTTTTCTTCTTTCTTTTTATCTAAAATTCAAAATCAAAATTTAAAACCCCGTTTTCTTTTTATGTGGAATGTCTCATGGTATGAGCTGCAGATCAACACAAACACTTTCTTGCATACATGGAATGACTTGTCATTTATTAATCACTAGTTGCAAGCACCCTGGCAATAGAGAAGCCTGAAAGATACTTTTTCCGTTGTGTACCCAAAGGTTAAGGCTCCTTGAGATTTTATTCTTCAGTTCTCTTACGAAGATTCTAAGGAAGAAGAGTTTCAGATCCAGTACTTTTTTAACAGGCTGAAAAGATGAAAAAGACATGAATTTCCCTTGGGAAGTGTCATGATCTTTGAACAAGAGGTTATTTGTATGTGACAAGGGAACTTTTTCATGGAAGGACGTTGCATGTTCAATTGAGAGTTTGTGGTTGATCTGGCAATAAATTCAAGAGTGAGTCTCAAAGTTCATTGCTCTGTTTGTGACAGTAACGCAGGAGCAAAGATGAGATTAGACATGGAAAGAAGTTTGAACAGACATTTGTAAGCTCATAGGAAGACACACACACCACATATGAGTTGCTTCGTCTAGCACACGGCCAGTTAGCCATCTGTGGACATTGTGGTCATGAAGAAATAAAGGGGATGTTTTCTGATACCAAAGCTTTGCAGCTTAGGAAAGAAAAGGACTCTGTCTGGAATATAGAATTTAAGGAATTTGAATGGATGCCTGTGGATTTTTTGAAGATATCTCGTAAAGCTAGCTCTCTTGTCATAAAACATTTACTCTCAGGTTGGTGACCTAACTCGGTAACTTTCAAGATTTAAATGTTGATTCTCTGCACTGTCACCACTACGTTTCTTATAATTTTACTTGTGAGAATTTCTTGTTAAATCCAACAATTTCCCACAGCTGAATTTTTATTACTTCTCACCTTCATGCATGGAAATGTAATGACATTGTAAGAGAAATTCATCTCTGGTTACTCATGGAATTAAAGGGTTAATACAGATTATTTTTTCAAATGAATGACAACTTTGATTATACTACTACTGAAAATCTATTATCATCGTTATTATTATTGTTATTATTACTATTATCATTATTATTTTATCGTTATTATTCCTTGCATGTGAAGTCAGTTTTGATTAGTCAAATAATACATTTACAGTTAATTTTGTCAATGAGTTGAGGTGTGTCAGACTGCACAATAAGTGCAATGTGATGATACAAAATTATCTTTGAATTTCCACTTTGAATTCAGAGGTTTTTTTCAATGTTTTCATAGTTTTCAAGTCACCATCTCATGATCTTTACATGTACATGTAAATATGATTAGAAGTTTTTACAACCTGTTTTTTAGGACTTAAATTCAAGGTTACCACACACTTCTCTGCTGCTTCATGCTCTTGTGAATGTATCTGCTTCTTTTGATGGTTGGGATTTTTACATTTCTCTCTTTCTCCTGCCATCAGAAACACCCCTTGCAACAAAGTAATATGAATTATTTGATATGAGCTGCTATGAAGGATTTTTGTATTTAATTGCAGATTTTTTTTTTTAGATTGAAGGAACACAGTTTATCCTTTCAATGTTGTTAACTCTCCAGTGAAGGACAGGGAAGTACTAGAAAAAAAAACAGTGTCATTATCAGATATGTGATGCCAAAAAAAAAAGATAACTGTGACATTCATAGATCAGAAATTTGTATTTTCAATAGTTTATAGTGTAAGTTAGTTATAACTCTTTACACCCTAACATCAGTATCCAAATTCTCAAAACTCTTTTCTACACATTTTATCTGTTACTGACAAGGAGAATTTGTTTAACAATCAGAGCTTCTCATGTTGGTGATCATTGCCTATTTTCTTATGATCTTATTGAATGATTTAGTGGTGATATTGTAAGGAGAAATTATATGCTGGTCACTGTTAGGGATTAAAGGGTTAAAATGTGTTGTTATTTTTGTGTACAGTTAGTCATCTGTTACCAAGGAGAATTCACATATTACCATTCAGATCATTAAGACTGATTTGGAGGAATAAAAAATGTTTTCATCAAAGGTCCATATCATGATATGTATTTATTTCATTAAACTGGCAGGTGTAATTACAGAAAGGGTGTAGGTTTCTAAAGAACTGTGGTGCTGCATCAGTGTGGGTATTACAATAAAATTTGGTTTTGTGAACTGAGTTGATAATGTAAATTGGCCACCATAAAGAGTTTATAAAGCTGATGTTTTGAGATTTAGCCCTTTGTCTGAGAAAATGATCCTGGACAAGGAGACTTTGTTTAACAATCAAGAACTTTTTTCGTCTTGTCACGAGCGTGGGACAAAGAAAAAGTTCTGAGTCCCGATAAGGAATAGAATCTCAGACCTTCGGATTCCGCGCTCCGAAGGTCTGAGATTCGATTCCTCATGGGGACTCAGAATTATTTCTTTGTCACACGCTCGTGACAAGACGAAAATCATTTTTCTCTATTTCTTTATCAAGCTCAAAACTTAGCATCTCTCTCATTCTAATCAAGAGCTTTTTTCTTTGGTGATCATATTTTTTATTCTTGTGACTCTGATGTGCGATTCAGGGGTGATATTGTAAGGAGAAACTCGTCATCTTCCTTTTCCAACAATTCTATTGTAGGTGACGCTGGTGGGAAACAAGGCAAGAAGGAAAGCAGTAAGCTTCACTCCGCGGCCAGACACGATGATTTCAATAAAACAAAATCTCTGCTCTTTCTTGAAATTTCATATAACTAATCGAAAGACAAGCGAGTCACATGCTAAGCTTGACGGATAACAGAGCCGCATCGATCAGACCGGTTCCATTTTCCTCCGGTTGTTCCGGTGACTCTGACCAGTACAATGTGCTCGACAATTTTTGTTAGATTTTGCTTAGCACGAAAAAGTGTAGACTTCGGTAATATTTAATTGCTGTATCGTAGGCTCCGATCAGGTGACAAGCCGAAATAATTTTTTCCATTGTGTCGCCAAGCGCACCGTCAAAAAGCGGTGATCCAGTCAGCCATTTTGCCGCTTTGCTAGGAGCGGTACGAATCTTTGATCATTTCGGAAGTGTATAGTTAACGGTATTTACCGCTTACAAGTAAACTAACAACTTTTTCGTTTGTCGCACCGCTTTGTTTTTTGTTGACTGACAGGTGTCAGTATAAATGAAGCTTGATGTTACATGGGTTCCTCACTACAACCGTGAAGCATTCATTACAACGTGTCAGTTAACTGTTATGGAGAGTCAGCACTTAAAACAAGCAGTATCCATTCTCGAGTCCGCGCAGTCGCGTGCAATGCTGTACAGTCTTTCAGACCGAGGCGTGTCCTCAGTGCCAGCGCCCTCACGGCCAGTGACTAATTTTTCCATCAGCAGGATCCTGGGTCTGGAGAACAGTGAAATACGTCAAGACACGCCTTCCACTGGTAAGTTACATTATATTTCACTCTACTTTATTTTAAAAAATTTAACCTAAAGGTAAACTTACTAGACGTTTAAATATGGTTTTAGTCTTTCCTTTATTCATTCAGTCTCTTGCTTAAAATTTACGGTCAAAACTCTGCCTAGGTAAGTCTCATCAAGATCGAAAGATCTCTACTTAATCTCGATGTCACTGATAGCATTGCTTGGAAGATAACTTGAAAAAGAGGCGTAATTCGTTTCGGCGCTTTTCACGGGAAAGGAGGCAAGTGAAATTCGTGATGGCGCGTTAAGGATGAGTCACGCTTCTGATTTCGTGCGAGACTCGTTTTCGTGCTCGCCTCGCCTCGCTTCGCGCCTGCCCACGTTCACTCATTTCTGTAAGCATCACTAGAGTGTAATAATGTTTGCATTAAAAACTTTTAAAACAATTTTAAGTTCATTTATTCATGTTTTTCCCCGTTTTGTCAGCAGTATTCAACGAGCACCGTCGCATCTCCATACAGGCGCCGAGTACTGAACACAGCCGCAGCGACAACAGCTCACGATCATCTCCTAATTACAGTTCCAACAGCGATTGTGACAGCGAACACGATCAACTACCGACACCCTCCGAGAGAGTGGCGAAGAAAAAACGACAGCGCACGACCTTCTCACTGTTTGAAGTGTGGGAACTGGAACGAGTGTTCAAGCGGCAGCCATATTTGATGCCCGAAGACGAGAAAGAGCTCATACAGAGCCTTGGGATCACGGCTAGAAGTCTGAGGGTATGCTGCATTTCGTCTTTTCTTCAAACTGTTTTACCGCAAACTTGAATTCTTCTCTGTGGAAGCTTTACCTACCTTGTAAGACTGAAAAAGAGGATCGCTTTGAGATAAATTTATCCGTGGAAGAACTAGCGAGGTTTTTAATTGGAATCAGGTGATCGGATCAAGCTGTGAAGAATTTTATGTATTCTAAAAATAAGGAATTAATGTTGCTTTGTACTATTTCGTTTCAGTACTGGTTTCAGAATAGACGAGCAAAATCGCGAAGGGAAGGAAGAAAGGTTCTGTCCGAATGTCAGAGAAACTCGCTCGATCAGTTTGGAAGACTACCAAAGACCTCGGTGCAGCCCCCTTCAAATCCCTGGATACAGGCTGAAAAGATGTCATACACCGAAGTAAACAAACACTCAGCAAAATTGAATACAAGGAGCGGACTGATCTTAGTAAATCATCGACACCTGTCCATCAAGTCTGATCAGCCGAGGTGCCGTTCACCTTCGTTAGTACCCATGCTCCGTCCGTACCAGTTAAAAAGAAGACTCCTTGCGCCCACGAGACCATTATACAGTCGTGATTTCCATAGATACCAACCATATTAAGCCTCTTGTACAAGCAATGACTTTCTATTTGTTAAAAGATGTATTTTTGGTAAATGTTGATGTTAGGGCTGTAATCAAGGATATGATAGAACATTTTAGTGATATAACGAAGAAACGAGAAATAAAATTTGGAGACTTTATTGGTGGTTTGCCTCTAAGTTTGGGTAAATAGATATTTGTGTAGTTTAATGGAACTTACTTTGTTTTATTTTCTTCAATTAAGCGTCAGTACACCGTCTGCTATGTTATCATTAATGCTATGTAAAAACAAGATATGATCAGCAATATTTGAACTGCACTGAAAGAAGTGGCAGGTGGTTTCATTGCCACTATATTCTTCAGAAACTACATATGCTAAAACAAGACAAAAACATCCGATGAATCCGTAAAAAATAATTACCAGATGAAAAGCACGAGTAAAATTAACTTTAAATTCCAAATGTCTTGGTAAATTAATTAAAATGGTTCTTTAAGTGTTCATAATTACTTTAAAGCTTTTCCATCTTGAAAAAGATACCTCGAATTTTTCAGTTCCACCACCAGCAAACTTCATTAAGATACGAGTCATAAAAAATGGTTCCTTAATATTTAAAGAAAAAGTTGTTAGGTATTTCCTGCTGTTTTTTTTCTGCGTTTTCAAGAGAAAATCCCTTTGGTCCTCAATTTCTAAAATCGACCAATTTTGCCCGTATGATATCGTTCCACTGTAAAGTTATAGCCACGTCGACCGTTATGTCCAATCTTCGTTTGAAAATATTGATTACAATACTCGGAGACGATTCTATGATGGGAAGTAAAATAGACAAGAAAAAATATCTAACAGGCTGGCTCATTTCAAAAGCATCCAATGAATGGACGCTGGCTCATTTCAAATTCCTTATTTCTTGACCTGAAGAAAACATATGTAATCGAGCAAAAAGGGGGTTGTAAAAATTATTTGCCAAAGATGTTTTTAAGTGTTCTTGATACTACACGCCTGATCTCGCGTATTTTCCAACAGTAAAGGAACGGATTGACAGACGAGTTGATAAAAATCAACGTAACTCCCAAAATGCGAGATAACTTGGTTGCCCTTTCTATTCCTCGTAAATGAATCACGATCAATATGCAAAAAAATGGCAGATAACAGAGAACAAAAGCGAAGTAGACATACAACATGTTATACACAGAACGCCTATAACGCAAGATATTAAAACGTGTTGCCGTCCGAACCGTTTCTGTTTCACAGTTTGCTTGTAAAGCTTGAAGTGGTGCAACGAATCCTCGTACAGTTTTATCATGGCGTTTGAGTGTTAGGTAAATCTTAAGGTAACAAAATGTTATTGTCGATAAGCACAACGCTAAAGCACAGTTAGCGCTGATATTGTACATGGTACTGTCGTAAACGATGAGCGAAGTGCTAGCAAGGGTCCAAAGCCAAATGAACGAAAGAGATGCTATAATGTTTTTGACTTTCACCAGGTTGCGGTATCGTAAAGGAAAATGCAAGGCCAGGAATCGATCGATCGCTATTGCAGTAAGAAGGACTAAAGACATATTTGGCAAATAGAAGTTGCTCAGGTAAAACATCACACGGAGAATGCGCACAGCGTTTGCACAGCCACTGAGAGTTGCAAGAACAGTTGAAATGAACAATGGTTGCACAATAATTCCGACTCCCAAGTCGGCTAAAGCGAGGTTAAAAATGAATATCTTGAACACGGCATGGACTTGCGTCAAAGGAATCTTGCGTAACGCGGTTATAATGAGAACGTTGCCGATGATTGTTGCAACTGATGAAACAGTGTTTACAGCAGTGTCAGCCAAGTACAAGGGAAGTGGAACTTCAGGGTCGAGATGAGGTGGTGCCTCTAGAATGCTAGTGAAATTTTCTGCCATGGTGCGAAAACGTTGATTTCCAATTGTTCTTAACACTGAGATGGCCGCAGAGAGGTTTCTTCTCCCAAGAGACAGTTGTCAGTAGTTTAGTATTTCGTTGAGAGCCTTCTCGTGTATGAAGTAGTAGGAGTCTAACAAGGGTATTCATCACAAAAACTATATTTAAGCACCTGCCTGACTGAAAGATGACTCAACGTGTACATGTCATCACAAAGAGCACATTACATGCAACTCACGTTCGTTCGCCCGGAAATGAGCATATGAAAGGGAAAGGTTTTTCTCGAAAAGAAAAGTATCTCTGAAGCATTTGCGGTCTATCTCCATTTTCTAAATTAGTCATCTCTCTTGTTTCCGTAACAAATTAGTTAAAGATAGAGCAAATAATATAAATTTATACCTTCATAAAGAAATTTAAAATCCCTATGAAACTTTTTTTGTTCTATAATAAAGATTTATTTTCAGAATAGATCTCTTATGGGACCGTACCTCATATGTAAAAATTGCATACGATTTCATTCGTGAATTTTTCTGATTCTTCATTTAATTAAAGTCTCTAACTTGGATCATTATTTATCATTGTTTTATTCCGCTAATTAAAGAAGAGAGCTTTACCCTATTTTCATAAATTATAGCCAAATCTTTATTTCAGGGATTTGGTATTTTTTTAAAACAAATTTCCTTCAATTAAAAATTTTCATCAGATTCTACTGTCGCGAGGCCCATGAAATCCCATGAATCTGTGTGGACTTATTTACAAGGAGGCACTATTAGTTTGCACATCTTGAATTAATTATTCATTCAGCTGCTCTTAAGACTTAAATGGGAAATCATGAGATCGAATACTATTCAAGGTAGCAAAAATGATTTTTCCATCGAACTTTCACCGAGCAAAGATTTTCCAAAATTGCTGAATTATTGCGCTTTTCCAAAATCTTGCATAAGGAAAAAGAGTGGATTTGTTTAGTGATTTTTACATAATGCATTTGCGCTCTATGGCGGGTAAACCTCGATGTACAGTTCATGCGTCCTGTATCGGCCTTAAAAGACATCACTTTTCATACTTTGTCTAATGTTTATTCATGTTTTTTGACACCTTCACAGCTTTTTAAGACCCTCTTTTGACAGTTTAGCAGAAAATTAATATAGGATTCGTCAGGGGTGCATGCGTGATTGAACTTAAATTAGCCACTCGAGGCTCTCTTGTGTATTTATCCACTACACAAACGGATTACCTTGCCTTCACCTAGCCTTTTAGATTGCAAAAGATCAACAAACATGTATATCAAAACGGAGAAATGACTCAAACTTTAACATTCTTGAAGCTGACAGAAAATGAACGCCGTATATTAATGATATTTCATATTTGTTTGGGGTCTACTAATAAAGCTGAATTGTGGGATTCACATGATAACGGAGATTGCCATGTCATGTCGCCCACCATTTCAATCTTCAATCCTTGCAAAGGGGGAAGTTGATTTTTGAGCGCTCTGGAAATAGCAGGTTACAGCATAGTAAAACTGTTTCCAGCCATGCATGACTTTAATCTGTACGGAGTAATCAGATTTCTTTAGTTGCATTCTGCAATAAAATATTCAACATATCTTTTAGTGACGATTGACTTGCTCTCCGGCGAAGTTTTCAGTGTTATTCTCGAAATTTCGAATAGATGAAACTTGAAGACCAAGCGATTAGTTCGCCCATTTCTAATTTTACTGCTCCTTTTGTTTTCACTTTTCGAAAATTAACGACAGTTCAACTTCAAACTGAACAAACACAGCTCTCTGTTGCTGAAGATCAGTTTTCCGAAAAATAATCCTCTAACGCACCGAGAATGACTGGATTGAAAGTTTTCAATAACAAGTTGTAAGATGGTGAATAAAGGTGGCCTAATATTTCTTCTTAAAAACGCGTGGAAAATGCAAATTCAGTTTCAGGCTTTTGATGCATGGTCAATATTGCAGAATAGGTCTTTCCACGAGTACATGGAATATTTTAAGGGTAATTAAAAATTTCTTAGATATGTGTGCAGGATATTAAGAGATGTCATTGATTATCTGACTCAACCTTGTCTCATCCGCGCGATTTTCGTGAAAAACAAAAAAATATAGAGGATGCTTGTAACACCGGCGAGCCTGTTTTTATTATTATTATTATTATTGTTATTATTATTATTATCATATCTGTATACTGGAGGAAAAAATATCTTCCATACTTTTCAATCCCTACAGGTAAAAACTTTTGGCCCAATTTATTCCAAATCTCTTTATTTTTCAAAGAAGAATCAAAGTTTATTTACAGGGGATTCCGTAAATTTAAAATCGATTGGTTATCATTCTTGAAATATATATATTAAAAAAAAATAATACAAAAACATTTTTTGAAAACTGTTAAAAGAAATTAAAGCAAGATGACATTTTCGAAAAGGAATCGGTTCTCGTATGAGAATTCGAAGGTTTCAGGCAATTTTCAATTGTTTGAATAGTCAGATTGGAAAAACGAAATGCCGTGTAAAAGACGGAGGTTTTCTTACTTCTGTGATTAAAATGTTATCGTGGGTGATGTGGTCCAAACTTAAGTTGCTGTAAGAGATAGGGAGTACTTCTTATTATAAACACCCTGTTATCTTGAAATCACGGTTAAGTTAGCCCGCACAAGTGATCTGGGTTCACAAAACGATGAGTTTATGTCGAAGTAGATCATCAGAGAAACTTTAGTTGACTGCATCTTAGATCTCAATTTCAAGCAATTAACAGAAGCGACCATGTTAGCAAACCATAGCAACAGCTGAGTTTGATTACTCACAGAAAGTAGCTTCAATGTTTTACAGAGCAGGAACCAACAAGGTAGTCTCATTAGACTGTTCTTAGGACTCAGCGATCGTCTTTATTTTGCGATGCAGTGTGCAAACTGGACAGCGCTTCTTACGGCCACACTAACGTGGTTCTTGATGAACTTTTTTAATTGCAAATAATTGAAACATTTCATTTTACTATATCTGTTTAAAGGCTTTTGCGACTGGCAAAGCAAATTGAATTGCCAGATAAACAAAATCAGTTAATGTTGAACTTCGAATTTTGTCGATTCTCTTATAGAGAAGTTTAGTTTCGGCTCGGCACACTTAAAACTCTCACCGAACAATCTAATATGCTATCTCACATTTTTCAACAGTTAAAAACGTGACTATAGTCCGAAATTCGTCCAGCGCAAGCTACGTACAAACAAATCATACGTGCAATATGCAGACACTTCTACGCGCTCGGCGAATCAGGATAAAGGACGAACAATGCGTCAGAATGAACAGAAGAAAGCAGAGGTATAAACTTTTTAGATGAGACAGCTCATTCTATTTGGCATACCAGACAATAGAAAGTGTATATTTGAGAGGTAGCTTAAGAGATAGAAATTTTCCTTTCGCGGTATCGACCAGGGAGACATGTGGACGATTGCAGAGATAACCAGGAGTCTCGCATTCTGCAACAGCTTGGAGTCACGCTGATAAACAATATGTCAAGAAAGAATGATTATTATTCAGTTCTGGACGGCATGCATCATCTTCTCTCAGGATCTAATTGGATAATCACTTGTATCCAGTCTATTGTTTCACAATCACCACGGTACTCTAAACTCATTTCATTTGATTTTGAGACAATATGAACCATGAATATATTAAACATCAATTCAACACCATAATCTAAAGGGATAAGAGACTTACATTATAAATTGTCACCACATATAAACGTTTACTTTGAAAAGAGTAATCTTGGAGTCAATCTACAAAGTTATGAAATCACGCAGTTTGTTTTCAGTCTGTTATCTTCTTGTTTCGACCTTTCACATCAATTTGACATTTCGTTCGTTTTGCAGTAGAATCGATTCTATACGAAGTCATTCATGATGGATAACACGCCTTCGCGGGTCCTTTAATCATTCGACTTTTGAGGCTCAAGGTTAATGGAATTCTAATCAATTCTTTCACTGATGGTCTAAACAACTGGGTTCTTATCAACCTTTTGTCAAGTCACACTGTAACGTGTCAGTATAATCTCTTAATTTGTAAAGCAATTTTCCTGTCACTTGGCATGTTTTTCTATTTACATAAGAATGCTGCAATGAACTCTGGGCCGAGAGCGGTCTTCGTTGTTTATCTTCTTAAACGTCTGATCCTTTCCTATGCAAACACAGTACAATGTGTAAACATGTCAAACTCAAAATCGAGCGTTCTGTTCTCTTCAAGTGGATTGGAAGATGTCTTTTCGTCTCCATCTTACTCGCTCAGGTTTTGGTGCTAAACCAGTATCTGGTGTCGTATGAGAAGGAGTCTTCATTCCAAGCTTTCACCCTCGCTTATGTCCCTACTTTGCTTCTATGGGCGAAGGGACAAATGAACAATCGGCAGCGAGAAGTGGCAGCTGGAGTGTGGTTCCTGTACATCCTGCCTCTCTGCATTCATGGTGGATGGATTCTTGGCACGTTGATGTCCAAAATAGACGCGGATTCCGCTGGACTCGATCATGGCTTTGTGAAATATCCCTTATGCGCTACCGTGTTGGTGTATATGTTGTTAGATGCTGACGGATTTGAACCCAGCTTTCAAATGAACATAAACTGGCCCGTAATCATCGACATATTTGACATTGTAAATCTTCTGGATGCCATCATCGATCCAAGAAAAAACAAAGATTTACCGAATGATATCGACTATTGCATATTTGCGTTTGCCGTTTTAAGTGTGGTGATTCTTACTTTCAGTTTTTCCGTACCAGTTAGAGAGGCACTTCAGAACACAGATGAGACTAATAAATCACTCGTGAGAATTTTCACCACATACACGCTGATACAATCGATTGTTGTGAATCTTCCATTTCTTGTGATACGCCTGGTACTTCACTATACATACAAAACTGGAGGTTCGGTTTTTGCGTTTAAAAATTTATTAGTGATAATATTAAATTTCATCAGAGTAAACTTCGATTGCTGTGTCAAAGAGAGTGAAGAAGAACCTCAGCCGGCATTAACTTCGAATGGTCACACTCCGTCGAACACGGAGGAGTCTGGAAGTGTGATCCAGTCAACGCAATCAAGCCGTTTGGACGATGTCTCTAGCATTTCGTCGTCTGTTAAAAGAACACATAGAGACGAAAGAGTTCGCTCAAGACTTGTGCAAGACAGAGAAGACCCTGAAGAAATAATCGTTTTGAGTTAAATGAGAAAACGGATGTTTAGTCCTGGAAGTGCTGCTTAATTTTATTTTGCTAATTATGCTTTTAAAAGGTCACAAATACTTAATTAACATGATCGTGAAAATAAAACCAATTTTGCCGAGATATTTGGTTTTTAAGAAAGGAGAACTTGAGAGCGTTCAAAATTCAGTCACTAGAAAGAATCATGGAAGGACTAGTTAAAATAAAGATGTCTTTAACTGGAATCGATGAACAGATTAAATGAAAAGATCAATGCAAATATCATGTGTTCCAAATCGCAAACGTGATCAAAATATTTTTTTGTTTAGGGTTACTTAAGCGGAAATAGAATTCCATTTTGTACACAATATGAACGATGTCCTTTCTTTATCAAAAATTATTGAAGCCTCAAGGGTGTATGAGTTTTGGTTGGCATTTTACGCCACCATGGCTTAGCTCAAGGGCACGAGTTGTTTGACGAAACTTCACTGATTTCAGACGCCATATCTCGACGTTCGACAAATTAGCGGCCTATAACTTTGGTTAATTCAGAAACACCTTGACATCTTCTGTCGTTATCACTAAACAAGTAAACATAATTTCAACGTCATTCACAGAAGGAAATCCGAGATTCACGTCGAGATGGATTTGTTTTCCTATGTTCTATTCAATTCAGCGACATTTTTTTCAAATGGACACAAAATGGTCAATCTCAAACATATTATCAGTTTTGAAATTCTTGCCTAAAAAAATTATTCTTTCAGAATGATGTTTTTTTCTCCCAAAATTCAGCCGAACGTGGAGAATGCTTCAAATTTTTGTAGAATGTATGTAGTTATTACTTAAAAGATTCGAACTACGGGCAAATGAGTATAAGATTGGATACTTAAGGAAAACTCGAAAATCAATTAAAATTCAATTAAATCCAGAAGCAAGTATTTAGTTAAAAGTAATTCATAAATCAGAACTCAAAAGTTCACACCTAATTTCATAACAGCAGAAAGAAGAATTGTAGTAAACAAGAGGTCTTCTGTATCACGCATGCGCATATCTTTGTAATCAAGAGGGACAACAGCTAACAGAAAGATCAACAAGAAGACTAGTATATCACGCATGCGCTGAGAGGTCGAAGCTGAGATAAGTTTTATAGAAATTTCTCAAGATTTACGAACTTTAGCCTCGAAGGTGAAAATATTCTTCATTTTGAGAGAATTTTGTCAGTATCAAGGGCACCAACTGACAAATGTTCAATTCTGTGGGACGTTTGGTGGTTCAATTAATTATCTTTACGCAACGTGGCACCTTATGTTCGCCTTATGCTCGCTTTGACACGAGCGTTTGTTTCTTTATCCGCGGGAAAGTATGAGTCCTTAAACAACGCTGACTGGCGGGTGTGCTATCAGTGCCAGACCCCCGGCAAACCCCGCTCCGTCTCGTCTCAAATCTTCTAATGGGCGGAGAAACGCACTTCCTGCAGCGCTAACAATAAGCAACATCTCGAAGGCTAAATTCTTCCTGCTTCAGCCTCTCGATAAATAGAATTTCTTACACATTTGATTTGTGTCAAGAAGGAATAATTTTACACAACAATCAGCATTGTATGTTTATACGACAGATCAAATCCAACACAAAATTCAATTCAGGCCGTATGATTTCTTTAAGCTTTTTTAAGAGCAGTTTCAAGTTAAACAGTTGCAAGAAAAACCGATCGAGGAGGCGAAGGCGAAGGCGAAGTCTCTACACTAAGAGATTATGATTTTAGGAGTGAATAAATTGTTGCCACCTAGTCTACGAAAAAAAAGTTCTTACATAGACATGTGGAGAGATCCATCTTTATTTAACACTCTTGCCCAAATAAATGCAATTGAGCCAGAACTTTAAAAGCATTTCTACAGTTCTTATATACATTGTTGATTACTATACCAACACTTATAGCAGAAAGACATTCCGGATGAACAAATAAGCGTATTGCGACTACTGTGCCCTTACAAGAGCTACATGTACATGAATCAATGAATCCTCGGTTTTCAACTTCCTCCACTCTACGATCACAAAACGTCAAATTCACTGCCGTTCCATTAATTCGTGTATTTTTTACAGCTCATGTATAAGCCTTGGATATAAGTTCATGTTTTAGACCAACATTACTTGCAGAGCAGAAAAACACATTAAGCATTTAAGGTCTACTGGGTTACAGCCCGTGTAATTAGCATAATCTCAGAACTTTATGAGTTCATTCCATATTTAATCATTAATTTTTCGAACTTGAGGTTTCGAAAAGATTGTGCAAATAGTCAGGTGTTTTACAACAGTTTACGACCATCCATTTCTCGTTCCAGTGCCCTGAAGGTTCTTTCTATCTCCTCATCGTATTGTTTGATCCGATCCTTGTCTTCTTCGTCGCTCAGGTTCGCTCCAGGGTCTCTGTTAAAAGGTTCCTAAGGCAGATTTACCGTTATTTTCATTAATTATTGTGCAACAATGGTTCGGGCTAAGGAAATAAATCCTCCTTAAAGTCTTGATTCTAAAGGTGACACCTCTTGGAAACTATCGCATCAAAAATGTTGTTATTTTAGACTTCCGATTTATGCGTCAATCTGTATCTCTCGAACGCCCATGCGTGAAGTTTGAAGGGCACGAAAATGCTTGAAGGGATGCTTTCCCATATGCAGGAGCCACTCACTTTTTTTAAATAATCTTCTCGAAACTTTTTATATAGAGTTATGCATTTAAATAATTCTTAAAAATTATTGGACAAGAGCATTTTTTTCAATAGACTGTCGTAGGCTTAAAACTCAATTAGTTACAAGAGCCAATCATAACAAAGATTGGTGTCATCATTAGCCAATGAGTACACAAAGTAACAACGGGCAAGCTACTAATAGCGCGAAAAAACGCGGGCGGCCAAGTTTCGTTTGGCGTCTGATCGGTTAAGAGCATGATAATTTTTATTAGACCAATCACAGTCCGAAGTAAAACAAAACCAAAACAATCCTGGATTATTTTCGACGCTCAATTAAAATTTTTCTCTCTTGTGTGTCACCATTAGCTGTGCAAAGAACGCGCGCAAACCACACGAGTCCTGCTTTCCGCTTTGGTCAAAAAGGTTTTGGAAAAGGCCTACATGAGAAAAAAATCGGCAGAAACGTACCATGTCTTTGTTTCTGGCTTCGTCTTCATTCTGTGTCTGCTGTCTTGAACAACCTATATATCCAGGGTGGATTCGGCATTTCCGCTGCGGCTCTCGTTTCTCGAAATTGTTCCCATTTTTCTGAAAAAAATAATTTCCCCTCGTCTCCTAAATCAATGCATAAATATGGTAGATTTTATTCGCATTGTCATGTAGTGGTGCGCAGTGTTGTCGAAACACCAATGGCTTGTTCAGAATCGTTTGAAAACTCCAAAGATTAAATTTAACATGGATTTTAAGCACATTAAAAATTCCCTCGACTAGCGATTTTCATTGTCCTCTCGGCTGTCAAAATGCTGAGAAGATATGTAACAGTAACAGGTGAAAGGATACACGGACGACGTATTGATCACATGAGTGATTATGAAACAAACATAACTGCTGCATTTGACTCTCGTCGACAGTTATGTATAGAAGCATACGAAGGATTGAACCTGTACAGTAAGTACTTGTCGTTCAAAAGAAGATCAGTGTTATTTGGGAAGAGCAACAGCAAAAGCAATAATACACATCATCGGTAAGGCAATAGTACAAATCACTGGCAAAGCAATGCTACATATCACTGGTAAAGCAATGCTACATATCACTGGTAAAGCAATGCTACATATCACTGGTAAAGCAATGCTACATATCACTGATAAACATTTTTCTTACCCAGTTGACTATGTCTCGAAGAAGAGTCCTCTTTAATTCTTCGTCTGTGAGACTTCGTTGGAGTTGAAACTTTGACGCTGTGTTTTCATTGTCGTATGCTCTGTCTCTTGAAGGGAAACTTTCTGTTTGCTTATTTCTACTCCAAGGATAGCGATCAAAGTAATCCTGAGAGGCTCTCTCTTCCCCTGGAAACACCTAGAGTCAAGGCTACTTAGTTATAGTACAGAACTATTCATGTTTCACGAAATAGCTAGTTTATGTGAGACCATCACAACACAGCGGTCAAACGTCGGGCATGTGCGTAGGGATCAATTCTGGTTTGCCGCGCGTCAATGAGAAGTGGATTGAAATGAATAAAGAAAGTTACGAAACAAAGAAAAATAATGTTAAAGCTTACCTTGTTGTAAAAATTGTCCTTTTCTTCTCTCTGAATCGACGAAAGAGGAAGCGAAGCGCATAGAATTATGCAGAGATTTATAAGAAGGACAAACGTGACGCTTCTCATGTATGCCATAGCCTGACTTGCTCGTGAATCAACGTTAGATAATCCAGTTATTTATCTGCAAAAACACAAAATGAAACAAAAAAAATAAACAAGGGACAACGCAAACTTGTGCTTGACAATGACCTCCAGCCCTAATCACTACCCAATCATTTGTTGTTCAGGGCGATCGTCAGGGCAGGGAATGTCCTTTTAACAAAAAAATGTTTTCGGAGAGAGTCATAACCGTTTCGACAATCTGAGCTGAACTTTATATCCTATGCGAGAACTCCAGGAGCAATCAAAGTCGAATCGAAAATTGAATGATACATGCCATTCCCAAACGGAGATGAATTCCGTTAGCGATCGCTTCCAAAACGATTATAAACTGCGAATTCTTCTCAGGGTAAACATTGTACTGTGTCTTCATTCATTGATCAAATTCTTCCATGCACAGAGGTTTAAAATGGTGCACAACATCCAAAAAAGTGATAGTGCAGCGTTTGTTTATTGTTCCGGGAGAATATCCATGAAAGATTCTTTATTAAACACAGGCAGGTAAATGATTTTAATTTCAAGTTGATACTCACGAAAATACTTTTAAGATATATGAGTCAGTTAAAAATGTACATTTTGATTTTAAACTTCTTTCTAACTCGTTTTCGACTTTTCCTTCAAATTGCAAAAGCAGAATGCGTCAGGTAAATGATTTTAAATTCAAATTAATAAGCTTGAAAATATGTTTGAGATTTATGGATCTGTTTTAAAAAAAACTTTATGGTGCATTCTGATTTGAAACCGTTTTTCTTGTTTGTTTGGAAAGACCAATATAAAGAAACAACAAAAAAGTTATTCTCGTTATTATTTCGTGAGTTCGAGCACGACTCATGACGTCACATCTGTTACCTTAGCAACTGATGGCTTAGATGCGTTTCCAAAGAATGATGACAACGAGAGTGAGAAGTCTAACTACACATGAATTACATGTAATGATGACGGGTAACGGTACGTCGAATAATGGCACTAATACTGAAAGGAATACACACGAAATGATCTTAGTGCGGTTTCAAAAGAGAGCCATTTTTAGTTAGAGTCAGTTTGTTTGATGGTGCGTCTGAGACGGAATGTTACTAAAACTAGGAAAAAGGGACTGGGAACAGAGAATGGGAAACGTGTGAACAGCGGTAATCCGCCTAAGAATTCAAAATGGTGGATAACTAAACGGATGAAGGGTCTAGGCCCGAGTTGTTTGAGCTCAGTCGTCAGAGCAAACAACATGGACGATGATTAAAGTATTTGAGTTCAAAACTGTTTTTTTCCTCTGATATTTGTAGCTGGTGCGATAGAAATCGGGTCTTCAGAGAGGTGAGTGTCTGAGAATTAGTCTTAGGCGACTTAACATTTGAATAAGTTATTACGAACTTCAGCAAACGTGTTTGCAAAAAAGGTTTGCCGCACAGCAAACTCTTTCAATAGTCTTGCATTTAATGATAATACACCTTCACTTTGGTGAAGTAATTCAATATTTTTGCTGTTTCATCTGACATTATCAGTAATGCCATAAACTGAGCGATTGAAAATAGATTGGAATGTGATTCATGCCGTGTAAACAGATTTCAAATATGAACTAATACGTAAATATCTGGAAAAAGTTTTTCGATGCCATTAAATGAATATATTTCTTCTCGTAGGCTTACGATTAGTACCACCGCAAGACAGAGAAACAGACCATAATAGCTCGTGCGAGCTTCGCATGTCGGCGAAGATAAGAAACACACCAAGTTGTGTGATTTAAAATGTAAGCAAAGAGTACGGTAGTAAATATTAACTTGTCATCCGCCATTTTAAATTTCATGCGGGTTACTGCGATACATTTGTTCCTTTTTCAACGTTCCTCGTTACCAATAGACCTCTTAGAATATTTTTTATTCCGTTGAAGGTCTCAAGGGAAGATCTTCCTTTATATGCATGCATACCTGCATGCACGTGAGTAAGGGTAATTTTGAAAGAAACAGTTGTCTAGTTTATTTTCACATGACCTTCATTGGAAAAACAAAACATACGAGCTAAAGAGGATTATTCCTCGTTTCTAATTTCAGTGTCATCAAATTGAAACTTCAAGCATTACATGCGCCAAAAATTTAAAAAGTGACATTTACAGAATCGTTAAATATAGCATTTTTTTGCCAAAATTTTCGTTGATAGATGGTTCATTTATTTTTTTTCCTTCCATTCTTCGCAGTTCTTGACGATCGCCTGCTTATGAAGCTATAACGGAGGTCAATGAAAGTTTTTGCGCAAAATGCGATAGATTCTGAGATTACCGAGGCCCGAAGTAACAAGGTTAGCGCATGGTTAACAACCACGGTCGGAAACCAAATTTTCGTCGCCCGTGACAGCTAAAAGGTGAGGATTTTTCTCATATTTTTTTTTACGACGAGAATGACAATAACCCACCGACCAGGCAGAAAGATTAATGAAATGAAGGAAGATACTTTATCAGGCTTGATACAAAAAAAAAAACTCAGTTGTTATGTTTCTATGCGGTCGAATGAAAAGTTGTTCAATTGTTCCTTCTCCAGTTTGCAATTTTCTCTAAAAAAATTCCTCTTGGACGTCAAGCAGACAAAATTACCCTTATCCAAGAAGTGAAGGCTTCACTAGTCATATCAAATTCATATCTGATCTTGGAGTAAAGCAGCAAAGAATAACAACTTTAATTAAAACTTCATATGTTCACTCTCAACAATCGACGCACTAAGTAACAGGTTCGGAATCTTAGTCTCTCCTTAAACTAAGTTGAGTACACTAACCTTGCAATTTAAAATCCAAGCTTTTCAAGCTATGAAACAAAGTGAATGACAAATCATTGGTTGGCAGATGAATTCCATTCATCAGTTATGGAAATAACTTCTAATATGCCAAAACGAGCGCCTTCAAAAGTTTTACTTGTCCGCTCAAAAGCGTGATGGAACTTTATAGGGTTAGACATCGCTTACTGCTACATGGGCAGCATTTTCCCTCGCCCATGCTTTGCACCGGGCAAAGTTTTAAAATTTTGAAAACAAGTTCAGTTTTTGGTACGCTCGTCATTCAGCTTCATCATTCTATCCCAACACAATTATGCAGGTCACTTTCGACGAAAGCGATTAATATTTACCTCCACTACGATTAACAAATGTTAGCTATTGAGTAAAAGAAGGACTTTCGCTACGCTAGAAGTTTAGTAATTCACACCGCAAAGTTGTGTTCGCACTAAAGAGAAACTGGGTTTTCCTTTGTAAGAGTAGAACAACCTATAGAGTATTTGTAAAACTAACCAGATGTCCTTGAAACCACACATTTTGAGCCTGGTGTCTTTAGCACTTGTAAATCTCAATATTCATACAAATCACCATACTAGACGCTAATTCTGAGATTCAATTCATTGGAGTTAAATCAGCTTGATGATTTTTAAAATTTTGTATTGATTTAAGAGACTGAAACTATCTACGTGAATTTTCTCCTTAGCTGGGGTCAGTTTTGATTGGTTTGTGTAAGCCAACTGTTTGCTCTGATTTGGTGGCGAGATGATTCACTAATTTAGTAATTGGCACAAGAATTGAAACATGCAGACGCCAGTATGTGTTCACAAGATAACAAGTTTTATACCGACAATAATTTCATTAACATTATGAACGACGCGTTTCCTCTTTGGGCGTTTTAGAACTTATGTGGTCACGAAATTTTCAGCGAGCAACGTGGGAATCATGGTCAATTACTGTAAATTATCTTGTGCTTCTTAATGTAACAAGCTTATGTTAGTTTTTTGCATAGGTTTGGCATGTATGAGGAACCTTACGCGAAAACCATGGCCAATTTCGACAGAAAATAATGACTTTGCTCTTCTATAATCAGCCAGATAAGTATAGATATATCACAACGTTCAAACTAGTTTGACTTTGAGTTATCACTTGTCCCAGTAATATGCAACAACTTAAAAGAGCGTTGCCTTGTAGAAAAGCACAGTGTGAGGCTATTGTTCTGAAACTGGCTCTTCCTTTTTGTGCCCTTACTTTTTTTCTCAGGGTATCCGACGCGCCTTCCTTTAGGGTCACAAACGGCATTAAGCCTTGTGATGTACACACTAAAATGTTCCATTCTTTCCTATAAAAATTAATGACGATGACTCACCTGTTAAATTGTTCTTTTGAAACCGTCTTCCGTGAGTTATTCCAACGACAGCATAGGTGCAGATACATTGGTGTTGTTTAGATAGGCGTATTTAAATGCTTCTGCCATGTTTTCACAGCTATCAATTTCCGGTATTCCATTGAAGAGTGATGTCATTATATGATAGCCAAACTGATAAAATTGTTGTGATTCCAGCCGCTTCCTAAGTGCGTATTTAACGATTTACTGGTCAATAACTCGCATATTCTATCGGCTTCGCTAGCAATCTTACCAACAAGATTTGTGAATAGGAAATAATTGTATTATCCTCTGAAGGCATTTCAATTGCGGAAGTTTCTCATTACCTCAACCTACGCGCACACATGCACGAGATCCTCAACTATTCAGTCACATTGTTGTTGTTGTTGTTTTTTTTGCAGTAATTATTTTTTCTGACACTTAACTTTTGAAAACTATGAAGTTTCTTTAGAGATCTATTTTCTCAAAATATACTGGAATTGTTTTTCAGCAGGCTATTTCACCTCAAAGAAGAAGCACGGGGTTTATTTTTAGATCCTTTAGTCCGAATTAGCCTGTTTTGTGCTTTTTATTGCATAAGTGCGTTTACACATGGGAGTGCCTCTTTCGCGTGGTTTACATAACATTACAGGATTGGCATGTGGACTGAGGACATCAACAACAACAAAAGAAACATTTTTTTTAGAAGCAATGTTACGAGAAAGAATAGATTTATACGTAGATTTATGTATACATTCATCGAAATGTCGTCTACTGCAATGAAAACGAAGTTTTTTCTTAATTTCCTTCGCAATGAAAGCAATTAAGATTTTAGATCGCGAAGGAAAGAATTTCGCTCACAATTGGGTCCAGTTGCTACACGTTGGAGTATTTCCTCAACATTGAAGTTATGTTAAGTATTAAACTCGTCTGTTCTATGTTATGGCTTGCCACCAAAATGGAAATTAGGAATGTTTTTGTCATTCTCCGCATAAGATTTCGTTGCATTGCCCTTATTTTGGTGAAAAATTTGGACGAAATTTACCTTGCACGAAGCAGGCTTCAGGTAACAGGCAAATCTTTCTTGCGTGCATTAGGAATTAACGTTAAAGTGGATATAGCGAAAAGGTCAAGTATCGCATACCGCACGTTTATTGCTGAACCACAAAATTACATAAAGGTTAATCAGTAGACCGTCAGGAAACACAAAACTCTTAAGAAGTGGCGGTTATTCATTGATTTTTGACTAACTGGCATCAACTGGCACTATTGATTATGATGATGGTCGAACATTTTTTTAAATTTCCCTCATTTGAAATTCGTCTTTATGTGAAGGAGTCTAAATATCCTTCGCTTTGTCCTAGTAGATTTAACCTGGCAGCTATTCCCATAATAATAATAGTAATCATCTGTAACAATTCAACTATTCAACAAGCCAAGCTGTTCTAATCTTCTTTTTCACCTAATATTGTTGAAGATACTAAGTGCTTGAAAGGAAAGCGATAACTAAGCTTGTAAAAATAACTCAACCACTAATATAAACAATGTGTTTGTTTTTCGTTTACCAATGTAATACATGACATAACACATATTGAAAACTTTGTTGAATGATGCTAGATGTTGATCATGAAACGATCTCCGACCCTCACACGCGACCAAACTTTTCCAAATATTTTTTTAAATTCATCATTCATATAAAAGTATTTAGCGTCCATTTCCTGTGAGAAGCATCTACGCTATCTATCTTTTTATCCTGGTGGCGATAAATCAAGTGCTCAGCTCATTAAAATAATCCCCTTTCAACAAGTGCCAGCCACTGAAAACATTACTCGAATGACTTCGTCACAAAAAAGATTGTTGCTACGTATTTCACCTAACCATGGAGACTGCTCACTAGTAACGAAACCCACGTCATGATACACTGCTCAATTTTGTATTTTATCATGTTCTGATGTGTTTTCTTCTAACTTTGATGTACGGTATCTAAGAACTGGATAACCGTTACAAGCTCAACACGGTTCTACGATGCGTGTTAGGTAGGTAGAAGGCCCCATTCATGCAAGCTTTTTCACAAATTTTTGCTAAAAGAAGTCGGGCGTCACCAATTGATCGCCGGAATGGAACGCCGATAAAAGAATTGCAAAACTTTGCTCGATAACTAAGCAATGCACGCAAACAGTAGAATGTAACTTAAACGGGTTTAAAGGGCTATCATAAAAATATTTCTCGAGGTAATTACAACCAGAAAGCCTTTCGGAGATATCGCCGCACTTCACCAGTTTTTTAATTAATTACAAGGAATTAAGAATAACGACGCGCCATAACAGTGAAACGTGCCAAGACAATCCAAGACAATAGTCACTTATCTTTAAAAATGAATAAAAATAGAACTCTTGCCGTACTTGACATTAATCATGACTTTGGGATAGGAGAACGTGCTCTTAAAGGTCTAATAAAGAATGAATATTAAGATTGTCCTGATCTAATTCACGTAAAACCCATTTTAGGGGGCCTTATTTTTTATCATTTACCATCAGCAGTTTTTGATGGGCTTTCAATCGGCCGAAAGTTTTTAAATTCATTTGAAGGGTCAGCTCTCATATGTCCGTTTGCAAAATAACGCGCACACTTGTATTTGGTAAAAATGCCTCCTCAAACCTTGAAACAACAAAACATTATTGGAATATCTCGTTGATAAGCTTAGTTTTTGGTTGTTCAACGGTGCCTTGCAAAGTTCATTGCTAGGGTTGTACGATTATTTCGGAACAGGAAGTCTTGATTGTAGTGCACTTTACAACTCGTTTTCACTGAGAGAAGATATCGGAGGCCATTGTTTAATTAGTATTCCTGTGTATTTACACTGAGACAAGATGTCTCCAGCATGGAACGAGGCGATAAGCCCAGAATGAAGACAATTAATACCCTTTAGGATTAGCGACGATCAAATGCGCCCAGTCTTAAAATCCCATTTACTCATCATTTATAGTTGGAAAACACAGTCGTTTTGAAGAAAAAAATTTTAAATGTTTGCCAAGGTGGCGCCAAGATATATATATATGTATGTATATATATATATATATATATATATATATATGTATAGTTATCGATTTAAGTAAATAAGAGATTGTGTTAAACAGATTATCTTCCTTCCAATCGAGTTAGAAATTAAATTGCGACTGAGCCGCTTTCTTTGCCAAAACCTGCTTGTAAGTAATTCCATGCATTCATCGACAACTTCATTAATTTTGAATTGGCGCTGAAGTGACTGTTTTTAATTTGATTTTCTCTATCTGATTCCTCAGTTATGTCTAGTCGGGGTGTAAGGGAACATCTTACGCCAAGAAAGAAAGCCCGACAAAATTTCCCCATTTAATTAGAGCTCAGACATTTGGGTAGCTGGATAGCATCTGATGGATTACCAGACCTAGTGGTGGAAAACTGGTCAGTCATCCAGTCAAATAAGCAATTTCTCTCTGACAATAGAATGGCAAAAACTTATGGTCAGAGCTTCCCTATTGACCGTTGATTCTACACTCGCCAAACAAAGAAAATAGAGAGAGTGTTAACGAAAAACTAAAATAACATGTTATCTTTTCATAATCAATTTTTTTACAAAGTGCAAAAAGTAAGCCTAGCTGGGTACGTTTTAACAAGCATATTAAAGTTTCTGGAAACATTATGTCACGTTTTGAATATATATGGCTAATATTTATGCGACTCTGCAATGGGACCAACTTCACTTGCCATTTTTTCCAAAAAGAGGTTCCCAAAATATGTATTTAAATTTTCGGTTTTTCAGCTTTCGACATTTCATTAAAGGTCATTAAATCGAATGAAATACAAGATGAATGAGTAATTTTTGATCAAACATTTATTGTTTTGTCCATTTTCCCATGCTCTAGCTAATACAGCAACACCAATGCGCAATATTTACATAGCAAAAACTATACACTTAAATACTCTCTGATCAGCTTCCTTTGATGCCCTTGTCTGCCAGCAGCTACCGGGAGAAAAATTACATATTACATTTTGTCGCTGTGTTTCGGTGCTCGAGTTTATCATAAGAAAATAATTCAACAGTTTTTTTTCCTCATATTAGACGATCAATTATTATTATGATAACCTATGATCTTACGCATCTATACATCTATAAATATGTGTAAACATTTATGAAATTTGGAACGAAATCAGCGACGAGCTCTTTTGGGAAGTTTTGGTTTTTTAGTCAGTTTTGGTTTTTTGGTCGGCAGACATTGATGGATATAACCAGGACGACAACGCCTTCGCACTCTTTTTCTTCCTTTATTTTTCTGCTGATGATCAGTGTCATTCACAGAGCTGTCAGAGTGAGCATCTTGTTCTCCACCAGATCTGGGTGCATCTGCAGGGCTAGTTAGCAAAGGGCTTGAAGATATTGGTCTCTGGCTGCTTTCACCTGAGTCATGTTCTCCCATGCCGAACAAGGTAGCTAAAGTCCAGCCTTCTTCAAATTGATTTTCTTCACTTTCTGGCTTACTTGTTGAAAAGACCTCCGTTTTTTCCTTATAGAGGAAAGGTAAATTTTTTTGTTAGATCATTTCTTCTTGATAAACATTTTATATTGGTTTCTAATCATATCAAGATATAGCACTGAACGCGTCACTTGCATCGCCCATTAAGGATACTGAGTTAAAATTCCATTTGAGTGAATGAGAGGAAAATACAAAAATTCTTTTCATTGGTACGATTTTCCTTACACTGAGATGTCCAGTAAAGGCTGCTACTTTGCTCTATCGGCTCCTTAGAACGTCAGGGAAAGTTCCCTTACCTTTTTCAATTTGCTCGGCAGTCTAGGCCTTGCATCCACAAACATTATCTGTGTTATCAAGAATCCACTAAAGGCAATGAAAGTTCCCAGTTTCATCCTGTAATTGTCGTTTGTTCACCAGTTTTCAAGGTTGCACCAAAAGCTGTAGTGTCGGGAAAAAGAAAATTGTTTTAATTAACGTTGCTTTATCCTTCAAGTCAGTTGAAATGGTTTTACTGCATTTAATAATCGACTGTACACTGTACCAGAGCAACTATCCTGAAAGCGATCTTCACAGTAATGAACACTACTTGAGCAGTAGTGAAAATAAGACCCGGAAAAAAATTCAGGCCTGTACGGGATTTGAACCCATGACTTTCATATATTCACAGTCGTTTAGCAACTATACTATTAGCAATTATAATTTTGAACAAGAGGAATTGTTTTGATTTGATTTTGATTTGTTTTGTTTGTTTGTTTTTGTTTGTTTGTTTTTGTTTGTTTGTTTTGTTTTGTTTTTTTACTGGCATACATTTGAGGGTAACTTCCATGAATGAAAACACATCTTGGCAAAGTGAATTTAGTATTATCCGCCATTTCCAACTTAGAGGAGTTGGTGTGAAATAAATGAGAAGGCCGACCGCAAATGAACCACAAAGCAGAAATTCAGGGCTAGGGAAACCGCAAATTATTCCTTTTTTTCCGCTTCAAGAGGGAGGAATTTTTTTTAAATGAGAGTTTAAAACGAGTATGGTTTCTATTGTTACGAAATGGTACATGTACAATCATTGAGCAAAGCAAGCCTAAACGTCAACAGCGGACTTTAATACAACGGTAGGAAAGCGAAAAAGAAGAAGACCTGACTTACACAACACTATTGAAAGAAGAGATCGGTAACGATTTCCTGTCTTTTTCTAAATTGGTTCCGATTTGCTTGAAAAATTTTCTATGTTGATCAAGCAGCTTTCCGTTGAAATGATGATTTTCCTCAGTTCCAGTGCCAACGGTAAGCAAGACTCTATTTAAGATTGTCTGAAATTTTTCTGCTGCAGGAATGAATTACGACGTTTCCTTTTACCTCCGTACCATGGCCAGTGCATGAGCAAGAGTAACTTGATCTATCAATAGTCACTCTGTTGTGTCGTACGACATAACTCTACTTTTTCTCTCGAATTTTCGTCTTGACCAGAGAACTGATAATCGACATTTTGTGTGGGTGGTCAATTCAAGAGTCAGCAGCAACGGAAATACGCCAAGCTCCCGGATGAACATTTTT